TATATATCTCCCAATTGATACGATATTCACGGGCTTGTGTTTCCTATGATTTCCTTGATAGAGGATTGCTGCTCACAAGGAAGCTATTAAACCAAGAGTTCCAAATGGTGAAGTTGAAGTCATCCCTTTGTAAATTTTACGGACGCCATCACGAGTTGGTTAACCGTTATGGAATAACCGTTTCACAGATGATATCGGATATGTTCCTTATGTCGTAACTACAATACCCTCCCTTTTCACGAATGTGACTTACCGAATTAGACTATTTACCGGATTTGTAATAACATAAGCAACACGACGGGTGCCACATGTGGAGCAGGGTCTGATTACCCTTCCGGAGCACCTGAGATCACTCTCAGTTTTTGGTGGGGTTCGTGTTGCTTAGTCTTTAGTTTTCTATGTTGTGTCATCTGTACTATTATTTGTCTGTTTGTCTTTTTATTTTTGGCCATGGCGTTGTCAGTTTATTTTCGATCTATGAGTTTGACTGTCCCTCTGGTATCTTTCGTCCCTCTTTTACGTAATTATGTTGATTTATCTAAGCCAAGGACTTGCATTGTGAGAACTGCAAGTATTATCGACAAAGCCAAATACATACACTAAACCTGTTTGAAGGCTAAATATCTCGTCGGCTACAATATAAAAATAAGAAGATGTGGTATGATTGCCAATGAGACAACTCTCCACTAGTGACTAAATGACACAGAAATTAACAATAATAGGTCACCGTACGGCCTTCAACAATGAGTAAAACCCATACCGCATAGTCAGCTACAAAATGCTGTCAAACAATTTGAATCTAAATGTACAGGAAATGATTTTTCATTTTCGCGGATTCATGTGCATTCATTAGATAGTATACTAGTACTCAAGATAAAAAAATACAGAAAATAATTTTTTTTTTATCACCCAGATAGTAATAAAGCTCTTTAACACTTCAACATCAGTATTTTTGAAAGGTTAAATAAAATTTAATGATAACTGTGGAATATTACAAACTTTTAATGACAAGAAACCAATTAATATAAACAGTAAATAAACCAGTTTTATTACCAATTCCATTTAAGGAGTTATCATCAAGTTCCCGATGGCGTTATTGAGGACTGATTTCTTGCATAGAATAGTGTTAACTTCAATGTACGAAAGTCAGCTTAGCTTATTGTACAACCAGTAATAATTTGAATCTCTCTAAGGAGTATTCTAATATAATTGGTTCTCTCTTATTACAATGATTTTTATTGATCATATAATACAATGGTTTGTGTAAGAGCAGTAAATGCTGAAGGCAATCACCAAGGTTAATAGGTAATAAAAGTAGCAATATTATGTAAAATGCTTCTTTCTTTTGATACCTATTCTGACATCGGACTCGGACTTCTTTTAAACTGAGTTTTACTGTGCGCATTGCTATGTGTTTCTTTATTCTACATTGGCTAGAGGTATAGGGGAGGGTTGAGATCTCAGAAAACATGTTTAATCCCGCCGCATTTTTGCGCCTGTCCCAAGTCAGGAGCCTCTGGCTTTTGTTAGTCTTGTATGTTTTTAAATTTTAGTTCATTTATATGTTTTGGAGTTTAGGGTGACGTCCATTTTCACTGAACTAGTACACAAATTTATTTAGGGGCCAGCTGAGGACCACCTCCGGGTGCGGGATTTTCTCGCTGCGTTGAAGACCCATTGGTCGCGTTCGGCTGTTGTGTGCTCTTTGGTCGGGTTGTTGTCTCTTTGAAATATTCACCATTTCCTTTCTCAATTTTATTCTGTCGGTGCAGCATAAATTATAGCACAATGTTGAAAAGAACATTGAAAAAAGAAATAATATATGGCATATAAGTGTTAGATTTTGTTTTGGTGTTTATTTTTAAACTCTGAAATAGCCAGTGTAGTAACTTTAATCAGCAATAGGATTCTGACTCAATTATTGAAACAAATGCAAGGGGAAATGGGCCAGACTTGTTTTATATGAATTTAAGTAATATGTTTGCGTTAACATTTTAAAGTGTTTTAAGGATTTTTTGCTGCAATATTTGTTACTGCGTTCTTGGAATGATTTGTTTGTGTATTTGTTTTTTTTAAATTCCATAAGTTTCTTTTGAACCAGCTGATTTGAATTGACCTATAATATTATGATTCCGTCTTTGCAAATTGTATTCAACTAATCAAAAATACGACTAAGAAGACGGGTTTCAAATGATCCGACATGCACATTGACAATTATAGACAAATTTATAGTTTCTGTGTATGGGATACAAGGAGGCACAACTGCTCAATATCATAACCATTTAAGAAACTGGACAAATGTTTTGCTACATGAGTATTTGTTGTCTTTATTTTTTTCTCTCTCTCGTTTTGATATCGATGATGCTACAATCGTGAATCAGCAGACATATTAATCAATGTACATCCATAAAATAGAGAGTAAATTGCAATTAAACGGAAATAGTTTAATGTATTTGTCCAATCAATTACAAAATAATGTGTTATAGATTCACAATTCATGGGTATAAAGAAAAGGACAATTCCTTTCTATATCTAAGTAGGCGTACAAGTATTTCATAGATTTCTTGATGTAAATATGAAAAATAACAAGTGGAAAAAAGTAAACCAGCTATGTCAAAACGGACACAAAAAATGGCTATTCAAAAATGAGATAAACCAATAGCTATGAGTCATGTGTACTAATTAACAAGACAGACTTATACAAACAGCGAACAATTAAAACTAATGTCTATTCAAAACATGGAGTTACACCAAACAATCTTTAAGGATAAGCATTATATCCTGCTTCGTAATGACTTTTGACAAAAGCAAGCCATTTAGTAAGTTCAGTTGAGATCGGAATCAATAAAAGAACATACCAATCTAAACCTTTACATATAAACCAGTCAGAGATGCATTTATTCTATATCTAACTGTTAACAAATTAATCAAAGCTGTCTGTGTATGTGTGTGTATATTTGTGTGTGCTTGCATGCCATTTAATGAAATACATCTACGATCATACATGACACAATCATATGATAACAAACGACCAAATTGTACGTTGTTTGTGCGTTAATATATGTTTAGTCGCATTATTATAATGAACGAGCAATTAATTTTACAATAGTTGAGCTTACAAAAGGAACCCATAATACTGAGAAGTGACCAATCTCTTGCGTGAATGAACCATAGACAAACATCATATGCTGGTCTAAAAATCATTAAAAAAATTTATTTGTTTTTTTCTTTTAAAATGAATATTCGTTATTTTGCTGCTATATTAGATTTTGCACACACTTGTTATTATTTTGTATTTAATACTAGAACATTAAAAGAGAGGAAAAGATACCAAAGGGACATTCAAACTCATAAGTCGAAAATTAACTGACAACGCCATGGATAAAAAAGAAAAAGACAAACAGTACACAAAACACAACATTGAAAACTAAGGAACCCCACCAAAAACTGGGGGTGATCTCATGTGCTCCGGAAGAATAAGCGGATCCTGCTCAACATGTGGCACCCGTCGTGTTGCTCATGTTAGTACAAACCCGGCGATAAATCTTATTCGGTAGGTCACATTCGAGGAAAAGGGGACGGGATTGTAGTTACGACAATTGGAACATATCTGTTGTCATCTGTGAAAAAGATATTCCATAACGGTCAATAATGATATAATTGCAGTGTGAATTAGATAAATAATACAAGGCATATAAGAAATATTTAAAAAAACAAATCCTAAATATATATTTATCTCGTGAGTTATTATTAGCATGTTCATACATTCAGCCAGACTTGGGAGATTAGACCAAATAAAATATATTGTAATGAATTTGGTCAACAAATATTTCTTTATTCAAAACAATGCTGTATTATTGACGCCATCCATCTATTATTATATCATATAGGAGAGAAGTTTGAAAAGGTCCTACTTAATTCGTTGGTCTTCTAATCCTGTGTTAGTTGTTTTTAAAACCTCTATCATGTTTTGTTCATCATAGTTAGATACATGTATTGCTTTAAATTTTAACAAGCAAATATCATATGTATGTGAAAATTAAAAACTCATCAAGGATACCAGGCATTTAATTCGGTACGTCAGACGCGCATTTCGTCTATATGAGTCTCATCAATAGCGCTCAAATAGAGTTTGTTAGAAGGCCAACTAATATACGAAGTTGAAGAGCATTAACAACCGAAAACATAAAAGTTGTGCCTAATACGGCTTAGAAAATCTATGTCTGGCAGCAGAAACACATCAGTGTTTCGAATAATTCAACTTCTATAAACAGTAAATTTACAGAAAATCAGCATATCAATGATTTTAAATGTCAACACAAAAGTGTCGATTACGATTTTCTACATGAGGAAATGCCTGTACCAAGTCAGAAATACGACAGTTGTTTTCCATTCGTTTGGTGTGTTTGAGCTTTTGATTTTGCCATTTGATAAGGGACTTTCCGATTTGAATTTTCCTTGGAGTTCGGCATTTTTGTTATTTACTTTTGACTGGGCTGGTGATACCCCCAGGAGAGGAAACGCCTACCAGCAGTAACATCGATAAAAGGCTTATAATATTGTATGCCAAATGTTGTCGTTTTTGTAAAAACAAATTCGGCTTTATATCGCATATTCTATTTGAATAACTTTTCGAAGATTTGTCGAAAACTGTATTTTCTTGTTATATTTACAGTGTTAAGTTTGGTATTATTGTATCAAATTTTTGTTATTTAACAAAATGGTGCATATTGTGATAGTCATTCGCATGCTGAAATGTACACATGAGGCTTCTACCAACTACAGGTTCATTTTATCTTGTCGTAGATTACGGCTGAGTATTGAATAGGTGAATTATAAAAGTCAACAAATGTTTATTTCCGAGATTAAGTTCATCTATAATGTATCTTAAGCTAGTTCGCGTAATTTGATTTATTATGTGTGGCAATAACTATAAATGGACTCTGGATGTTTTACATGCATTTGTTTTGTAAAAATGAAAATATTATCTATTTTTAAAGGCTTTGCGACCAGGAGATGTTTGGAAAGTGGCGACTGGTTTGTTCATCCTGAATTAAACAAAACATGGACAAACTATTCCGGTTGTGTTGAAAACATAACAGATAACCAATCACTAGTGCCGGATGTAATTCAGGTATATGTTTAGGTTTTGGATTACTCTAAGATAAGACAGACTCTTATTTGGATGACTTTTTGTACTTCCTTTTGAAATTTCAAATACAACCAATCGGCTGCTTTACATTTCAACAGACTACACTTTCAATAATAATTTATGTCTAATTGAAAACACGTGATGGTATTGATATCTCAATGAGATGAATAAGTGGTGCTTAAAATTGTACAATTGAAAACGAATCAGAGTAAAAAAACTATCATCTTGTAAAGATAATATGCTATTTGAGATAAATGTAAATTTCCCAGCTTCTTACAACATCACCAAAATATGACAATAAACGAACAAATGTAACTATAAATATTTCGGATAACAGATATCCTTCATCAGTATGAGCACGATGTAAAATGAATCAGATCAATCTATTCTGATTATTAAACTTTAGCAATCTTGAATTCTATACAATAAAAAAAGTGAAACAGTTTCACCCGAACATCATATGTAGAGACGCTAATAAATTTTTAAAATTTTCAAAAAACGACTCAAAGACATTCCTAAAATGAAAACAGTAATTAGAGATATGAACAGGCACAACTCTTAAATTCCAAAATGACGTCAGTTAAGATGTTACAACAACTGCGTGTAAATACATTCCCAAAAAAACAGCACTGATCGATATAAGCTGGTAAAATATGTCAAACAGAGGCTGCGTATTTATCATCCCAAATAAATAGCATTATAAAACTGCTATTTATTTGGAAATTTTAAAAATTTATAAGCGTCTCTACATATGATGTTCGGGTGAAACTGTTTCACTTTTTTATTGTATAGAATTCAAGATTGCTAAAGTTTAATAATCAGAATAGATTGATCTGATTCATTTTACATCGTGCTCATACTGATGAAGGATATCTGTTATCCGAAATATTTATAGTTACATTTGTTCGTTTATTGTCATTTTTTGGTGATGTTGTACCCTTTTAGACTGGTTATTTATATATATATATATATATATATATATATATGCAAGTCTAAATTGAAAACAACGTTCAAACCTTTGATTGCGTTGGATAAAAACCGCAATTTTTATACGTGTGCATGCAAAACAAATTTCTTGTTAGAGGGGTCTAAATACAGCACAAACAACATTTTCCAAAAGACCAAAATGGTGAAAAAATATATTTTAACAAAACGCATTTGACTAACAGGTCGAACAACAAATGTTCTTAAACCCTGCTGACTGCCATTGGCGATAGCAAAATAAACGGATCACCGATGTAATGAATGGATCTTAATTATAAATTTAATACTAAACAGAAAACAATAAACTTACGGAAAAGATGGTATACCGCAAACAAAAGGTGCAAAGGTTTTTGTACACTATATCCGGATTTCGACAATTAATGTCTCTTCATTGATGTTAGGAATCGAAACGGTATTTGGAAAGCCATACAATTTACCTCAATTTAGGATAGACTCTTGAATTTTGAGGAGTCAAAATAGGATGAACGGATCATATAAACCCGAAGGCAAATATAATACAAGCCCAAACGAAAAAATATAAACAAGTCTAAATTGAAAACAACGTTAAAACCTATGATTTCTTGTTAGAGGGGTCTAAATACAGCACAAACAACATTTTCCAAAAGACCAAAATAGTGAAAAAGTATATTTTAACAAAACGCATTTGACTAACAGGTCGAACAAAAAATGTTCTTAAACCCTGCTGACTGCCATTGGCCATTGCCAAATAAACATATATATATATGTATGTATATGCAATAATCTCAATAAACGGATACAACGATAAACTGCAAACGTGTTTACCTGCTTGCAATGAAAAGGATTTTTAAAAGTTCACACATCAAATATGAAAACCTTAGTATTAATGATGGCTACTTTTGAAAATCCTCTTCATTGCAAACAGGTACTTTATGAAACGGTAGTGTTAAGTTCTTTAAGTCTCATAAAATTATCCGTGTCAGAGATATTTGTACTTGCTAACATACTATCATTATGTTGCATAAATTGACCATGACAGCAACTGATCAGGAATTCGGTTCACATTTCTATTCAACATACGATAATTAAGATACGAAAGGGGATCAAATGGTCAAGGGTCCTTTATCTGAATTTCAATGAAAATAGTACTGTTGGTGATAATGATATAGCTGCTCCCTCCATACAGGATCGTTTGTTTGCATACAATACATGCCTACTATGGAGACAGACTGATGAACTATTTATCTGATAATTGATTAAAAAGGCGAGTAAAAATCGTCATATTTCGTAAAAAAGTTAAAAAGATGGGGTATAAAAAAGATGGGGTATAAAATTAACTACCATATATATCATTTTTAAAATGATTTTTAATAAAGATATGTTGGAAGATTTATAGTACTCAAACGGACGATAATGATGTACATCTCTTTGAAAAATGATTTTACAGTAACGATGCTTGCATTGGTACTTAACATAGGATAAAGAGCAACCATCGAATATTTTACTAATGTGACGGCTTAATCTTTATCATTACTAGTATTTCTTCCGTGAAATATATCCTGTCTGTCTATTACAGGAACATATGCCTAGGATCCAGATATTCTACAACTTTGGTTATGGTATTTCGCTGATTTCACTCCTCGTTGCAGTAATATTAATGATTTATTTCAGGTATTTTCATTCTCATCATAAAACTTTGTCTTGATAGTTCTTTTTCTTAACCTACAACACTGTATGAGTCTATGAATTTTAAACCTTTGAATTCGATTGCATTTAGTTATAATGGTTATTCAATAAAAACGTGTTTTAATAACTTAATTTTCGGTGCCAAACGTTAATATATTCAAATGCTCAAATATTTCGTAATAACTAAATTCAAAGCATTTGTTTGAATATTTTGACGATAAATTTACTTGAGTTGAATGACAGTTACAATAACGAGGTTTACACTGAGGCAATATATTTCATTCTTAAGGAACCAATTACCCTTTTAATCCAAATCAGAAACACATGACGTTTGTTCTACTAGTATTTTTACTTTACAGTGTGCATCATTTTAATTTTTTCCAAAATAAAAACATTAAGATGACAGTACAAAAATTGTTATTTTAGAAGATTTAGAGACCAGCATACGGTTTTTAATTGTACCATTAGTCAATCTTAAAAGACAGCGAAATAATGATTCACGAAACATCAATGATCTGACGTAAAATATAAATTTCTTAAGAGAACAAAAAAAAATCCACCCCCCCCCCCCCCCAAAAAAAAATAGCCCACAAAAAAAAAAAACTACTAAACGGATTTTTGACTTACATTTTTGATGGGATTTTTTAGGACAGTTGCATAAACAATATGGTCAGGTTTAACTAGTTTTGTGAATACCAATGCTTGTGGATTAATCATAGTGTTATTACAGCCTTCTATATTTTCGGATTTTTGAGATATTTTGGCATACATACATGATACAGGCAGTATTTCAGTATTTTAAATTGCCGTATGAATATGGCTGAAAGTGGGCTAATATATAGTTCTTCGTACTCAACTTTACCGTTGCTTAAAGTCAAAGTGGTCTTTAGATTGTCATGATTAACACATATATGAGATACAACTAAAATAGGGTGAAAAAAGAAGATACTCGCCTGCACGTAAACATAAGCATAAATTTCGCATGCATTTCGTTGATATAACATTTTATTGAGAGATTTTGAAAATCTCGGCAGAAAGAAATTAACCCGAATATTGGCTCTGAAAGTACAGATTGTTTTAATCAGCCCCAAACAATCATCATTAGACATATAAAGCTATAAGGCGTTAAAATATCGGTCGTTTGATTTTTTTGTTATTTTAAGTTTTACAAGATTTAAAAGGTGCGGTTGGTTTTTCCCGGATATAACAATAATTTGCTTTTTCAACCATCAGTATTGTAACATGAATAGTAATGTTCCCTCTGATCTTCAATGGAGTTAACTGTTGTTTTATGAACAAAAATATATCCGTTGTCTTCAATAACAGGTTGTCATAAACCAGAAAACAAGGATTTCGAGGAGCCAAGTGCGTTAAGATTCGACATCAGATCACTAAACTAATATTTTTTAGGGGGTTTTTACAAGATTGTTTTTGCATACCTGACCAAATTGTCTGATTTGAATTTCATCTGGAAAACCCTACGAAATTCTTTTTCATTGTGATAATTCCGACTTAGGAGGGTTTGTATCGCTTACCTTCTAATTTTCTTTCAGAACACGCACCTCTTAGCAAAATAAGATTATACAACGAATGATTAAAACATTGTGTAGGTCATATATGAACCTGACGACAGACAAATTGATAAAAAAATAACTATTATATATCAGTTTTATCTTTTTTTATCAATGCGTAATTGCACATATACTGTAATGTTAGTAAAATACATATTTTGTTTATTTCTTTCAGAAAGCTACATTGCCAGAGGAATACTGTTCACATCAACATGTTTATTTCATTTATATTAAGATCCATCATTTGTTTCATCAAGGACATAGACATAACGCCTGAAGTATACAACTCCACTATAGAAGAAGAAACAACATTTGGTCAGGTATAGACCACCATTTTAACTTTCAATGTTTTGTAGTTAATAACGAAACTAATATGCATTGAGTCGGAAAACACATTTTCCTGGCGAACGTAGGAAAAAAAAACCAATATAAAAGGAACTACTATGACCTCACATAAATACTGAAATATAAGCATATGTTCAGTAGTTGTCGTTTGTTGATGTGGTTCATAAGTGTTTCTCGTTTCTCATTTTTTATATAGATTAGACCGTTGGTTTTCCCGTTTGAATGGTTTTACACTAGTAATTTTTGGGGCCCTTTATAGCTTGCTGTTCGGTGTGAGCCAAGGCTCCGTGTTGAAGACCGTACTTTGACCTATAATGGTTTACTTTTATAAGTTTTGACTTGGACGGAGAGTTGTCTCATTGGCACTCATTTTATTAGTTTACTTCTTTTTAAAAATAACACGAGATAGAAAATTTCAAATTAATGCAAGGCTCTAATATATGTTCAATGTAAAAAAAAATTAGACTAAAAACAAATAATGCAAACAACGAAGCGACATTATCCGACAACACTAAATTGATAATCCTTTATAACGAATATGTGTTCCATCGACAATTATAATATCGTTCTGTACAATGCAAATGCAATACGGAAACGCAATATTATTTGCTAAGATTGATTTCGAAAATAATATTTAAATTCTGTCAAATTCATATCAATGATTTAAGCAATAATGTATTCACCAAAAATAAGCGCTGAAAATTTGACTCAGCAGGAGGAGAATTCACGTTAAACAACTGTCTGTTATCAGCTGAGAGGCTAAATTATGTTTTACACCACTTATGAAAACGTAGAAATGTCAAAAACAACTATCATAGTTTTTTTTTTGGAAATGTAAATAGTAGTGTTTTTTATGTTTATAGTAAATAAGCACTTAAATGAGATTATGCTTGAGTTTTCAGTTATGTAGACTTATTAACCATTAACAGTAAACTGTTGTTTTTTCAACACTCGATCAAAGTATACCAAAAAGACGGTGTATCACAAGAAACTGCTATGAAAAGCAAGCCATGACAAAAATGCATTGCATACATTAAAAAATCTTTTTTTACACGGAACTCTAACCCTAACCAGAAAGTAAAGTGTCCCGTGAAGTAAATGATGGTCCGAGAGCAGCTACAAAAGGATATAACGTGGTCTATAAACAAAGAGGCATATTGTAAAATATTTTCATACCGAATTAGACTTATTACCGGGTTTGAAGACCGTACTTTGACCAATAGTGGTTTACTTTTATGGGTTTTGACTTGGATGGAGAGTTGTCTCATTTGCACTCATACCACATCTTCTTATATCTATCTTTGCACTAACATGAGCAACACGACGGGTGCCACATGTGGAGCAGGATCTGCTTACCCTTCCGGAGCACCTCAGATCACCCCCAGTTTTGGTGGAGTTCGTGTTGCTCAGTTTTCTATGTTATGTATTGTGTACCATTGTTTGTCTATTGGTCTTTTTCTTTTTTAGCCATGGCGTTGTCAGTTTAATTTCGACTTATGAGTTTGTCCCTCTGGTATCTTTTGCTCCTCTTTTTCATCAAATGCTTTCAAATTTCTAGAGGTAATAAAATCGAGATACATATAAATAGGTCGCACTTACACAAAAATATGTTTGAAGGAAACTAGGATCATCATGTTTTTCCTTTTCCTATTGACCCCAACCAGTGTATTTAAAGACATCGATTCTTGAACTTCAGTTTTTGTGGGGTTTCTACTTTTATCATGTCAGAATAAATAACTAGAAATATTTATTACTAGATGTTCATTTCATCCACTTTACACGTTGTCTTTCCCCGTAAAATGATCATGCTTTAAATATCTGTCACTGGAAGTTACGCAATAAACAAGCAGTTAATTAATTTTTCTTTTTTCTGTTGTTTGAAAAGGAAGAATACCTTTACAATTATTATTCCTTTGATCACAACTCCTTTGAACCCACATATCAAAGAGTGCTTACATCTCATATATCCTAATAAACTTAAATTTAAGGTTACTAACGAAAATTAATCTGGTTCAGATCTTTTCCGCTATATTGGCACATAATTTTTCCCATTTCTCAGCAGTAACATATCCTCTGCTCCATCGTTTGGTGTTTACATATCTCTGTTAATGCGTTACGTTCGTGCATGTTCACTTACAGAGGTGTGCTCCTTATACAAAAACTGCTCCAACAGAGTTATGAGGATGGATGTATGAAATCGCCCCTCCATAAGTTTTACTGTAACCATCATCAATTGTTTAACCGATACAATGTGTCGGTGTCTCAACTCACTAACGACGTGTTTTCGTGGTTTAAAATCTATGAATATCAATAATGTCTTCTGATCTGTAATTTTACCGGATGTGTCCCATTTCCGATTGAGACATTTTGAATGAGTGTAAAATCGCATTGAGGGTGAGACATGCATAACAGGAGATGCGTGACCTGTCGATGAACTCGGTCTCGTTTCTTTTGGGGTTACTTCTCAGATTTTTGTTACATGACATTGATTTGTCTTTTCCTAATCGATTTACGAGATTTGAACATCGCTAAACTAATGTCGCATTAAACTACTTATCCTAGGGGCTTTGAAAGCAATCCACAAAATATATCAAACAAGATTTTGTTTGTATCCGCCAAGAATTGTGGGGGAAGTAACACTATTCAATTTGCTCGGGGCTGTAAATCTCATTGAAAATCTCAAGACAACAAATTCATTTACATGCATCTGAAAAACAAGCTACTACGGAAAACGAATGTCATTATCTTAGAATAACAGACATTTTGTGTAAAGGCATCCTATAATGAAATAAACATATTTGACAAATGTAAAAGCCCATTATTATAACAAATCTTATTTAGGCACACCTTACTCATTAAAATAATTTATGCACTCAAAGTTGCACTGTTCGAGCATTTAATACATTAATTCGTAAATGTTAATATTACATGTTTATTTTTTGCTCGATTTGTAGGCATCGATATGTAAATCGGTTTACGTCATCTTCTACTATGTATTAACTGCAAATTTCATGTGGATATTTGTTGAAGGACTATTTTTACATACCTTTGTTTTGTCGACAAAATACAACGTATCACGACGACTTTACAGGACATTTCTTATATTAGGATGGTGTGAGTATATATTACATTTTGATGATGTTATTGCTTCGAAAATTGCCAATAGACCTCTTTCGTTGTTGTACATTTTAATCAACTTGCTGTGCCATTTGAACTACAATAGTTGATATCTTTACAAAAATGCCACCAGACAGTAACATACCTGTAATAATAATAAGCTGCACAGAAAAATATAAGTTAGCTGCACAGAAAAATATTTCAAAGTACTACTTCCATGAGATAATAAAAAAGAGAGGCGGAATATACCAAAGAGAAATTCAATTCGATGAGAAACTGACCGTAACCAAAAATATAAACGACTAAAAGACAAATGACAGTATACAAAACAACAAAATGACCGTTTCAGATCTAATTTTTTTTACCCCGGGATGGACGTGTTAGTTGTTACGACAATTGGAACATGTCAGTGTTTAAAATATTAAAGCGTTAGGCCATGCCAATTTAATTCCTTGTTCCACGGACCCGCCCGCACATATTTTTTTTCTAAACGGAATTTTTTTTTTATATATTCCCGCTTCCCGCATCCGGAAAAGTAATCGTGTTTATTTCCCGCGCCGGTTTTTTTTGTAAACATTAAAAAAAGCGATCGCCAGAGCGTTTTAGTCAACGTCAAATCGCGACCCTTTAAACTGTTTCGAGCATTAACATAGATTTCTTATCAAAGTCAAGGACGATCCTTCACAAAATCATGCCGAGTTTCGTTGTTAGAATAAAGGTGTGTGTGCTAATACAGACACCTTTAAGCAAAACTATCCATACCCGATGCATTTTTATGCACCTGTCCCAAGTCAGGAGCCTCTTGTTCAGTAGTTGTCGTTTATTGGTGTGGTTCAAAGATATTTCTCGTTTTGTATATAGATTAGACCGTTGGTTTTTCTGTTTGAATTGTTTTACACTAGTCATTTTGGGGCCCTTTATAGCTTGCTGTTCAGTGTGAACGAAGGCTCCGTGTTGAAGGCCGTACTTTGACCTATAATTGTTAACTTTAAAAACATTGTGACTTGGATAAAGAGTTGTCTCATTGGAACTCATACCACATCTTATTTATATACAAAGTGCCAAAAGACAAAGAACAAAAATGAGAACACCAAAACGACTGAGACACAGACAACCAACATATAACACAAAAAACTAAAAAGTACACAAATCAACGAACAGCACGAACCCTTAAAACTGGTTGTGAACTCAGGTGTTCCGTGAGGATAATTAGTTCTTAATTCTTGCAAGACACCCGCCGTGTGCTTGTTATAAGTCATATTCAATTATTCAGTTCAAGATCTGATGTCCTCAGAAAGAAACAGTAATACAAGAAGTCACAAATATGCTGCAATTAAAAGTGGGCATTACATGTCTTCGTGAACAGGAAACAAAACACTTCAGCAGTTGATAAATTAAAGAAATGTCAAAGTACAAGTGGTAAATCAATTTTCATACCATCTTGTTTTTATCAATATTGTCAGAACCTATGATTTTATGTAAACAAACAAATAAATAATTCGCCTCAAAAATTTGCAAATGACATTTATTTTATTACAATTTTCAAATCGCTCGCTTGCCCCAATGTCTGGAGTGGAAAATCCGTAGAACAAGAAATTAAATTGGTGTGGCCTTATATGTAACGTTTTTATTTACCAGAGTGCAAACCTGCGATTACCGAATTCGAATTAAAAGGAAGAAAGAGTTTGATATGCATCAATTAGATTTCGAATAGAATAATTAAAACTGTAGTTGATATGCCCCCCCCCCCCTCCAAAACAGCAACAAAAATATCTCAAGAATCTCGACTGGATTTGGTTTCAAACATTTGTGACAACAAAATACTTTTAATTAAGGTGGACACGTTTGGTTGTTTTTAAAATATGGATATGATGGAACATACCAAGGACACGTTTTGGCTCCTTAATCAACTAGGCATGTTTTGGAGTTCAATGACGTCATATGGACACGTTTTGGGGTTGGATACGTTTTTGGGGATGGACACGTTTCTGAATATTACATATGTAGATACACATGTAGCATAATAAATGTAATATTTTGAAACCAGCATATAATATGTATAACCATTATATTTCTAAACCATTACATATCACAACGTAGATTGAACACATTTACATATTCAAGTAAAAACGGAAGTAGCATGTCTTTATATTTAATAACAGAAAATCTTTCATTCAGGTGTGCCTTTATTATCAGTTATACCATGGGTAATTGTGCGATATATGTTCGAAAACACACTGTAAGTACAATGTTTACGTTATTATACCATATGCAAAATTTTATCATAAAAGCAAAGTTCTATACATTTTAAAATTGGATAAAGAAATTTAGCCGTGCAGTTGCATAAAATTATGTTATACATTACATTAACATGAAATATTCTAATAGTTATCTACTTTATGTTTTTGTCGATCTGTTCTGAATAATGTGGGTTTTTGTGTATATATTTTGTTATAGTCAAAACTGTATTGCCACTAAACCAGACTTTTGACTACGACAGATATAATAGTTCACATGACAAAACATATAATTACTTGAAAACAACCCTTTGTCCTAGGACTGTTTTTATGAATATGGATGAGAATGTAATAACTGGTCAGATAATGATATTAACTCGCGATCGGAGTCACCAAATTATGCTTTAAGACAACAATAGTTTACCGATGTTCACATTTCATAAATCGATTAAGAAGACAAAATTATGATATCAACAAATACTGAGGGAATCTGTTCTGGACAAAAAGTATATCAGAAAAAGTACATATATGTCTTGTCAGTTAAGAATAAAGTTAGTTTTGTTAACTGATAACAGTTATTGTTAGGTTTCTAGGGGTAAAGTTAAGTATAGGTTCCTTAATGTCATATAGATTCAAAGATTTCTACATGTTTTTACATCCAAGGGTTTCAAATGTTATGGTTGGAGCATTCCTCAAAAACGCTCTGGATGTACGAAGTTCCTCAAAAAATGCTCCGGATGCACGAAGTTTAAATGTTTCATAATGACCGCTTCGATCCATCTGTTCGACCGTTGTGGTGCGCTAGTATACACTGATCGTTGTGACTGGTCCGTTGGCCCCTTTTGCATTTCGTTTTTCTGCATGTTTACATGCATGTCCGTTAGCAGTGGAAGAAGAGAAGAGAGGGAGAAGATACCACAACACCATTATTACTTTTGGCGCATGAAAGTCATTTCAAAACATGACGCCATACGAATGAAAACGCTAAAGCTGAAGCTTCTTCCGTTACGTGAACACTCCAAATTCGGATAATATTGCATTAAAATAGAGTTTTTGAGGTTGGTGTTGTTTTATTTTCTATTCTATTGCATTATTCGCACATTTCACTGATTTCACCAAGTCAACATGGCGGCTCCTTAGTTACGAAATGTCAACTGTGAATTTGACGGTAGCTTACGAGAAAAAAATGTAAATTAAAAATTGCAAATGTTGGGGTTTAAACACATTTTTTCTAGTGGTTATTTAAGAAATAATTCATGCAAGCTATAGATTTATTGGAATTTTTCAGTTTTATCTAACAGGGGGTAAAACAGAACAGCCACACACACGACATACCCTCCCTCGCTTCAGTTTTTTAATTATCGTATTTGTCCTATTAGAATCGAAAGCCATGGATTTGTAGGAAATTTACACATGGCCTGGGCCGTGATATTCGTTCATTTTATCCCTCGCTATCTCTTAGCATAAAATTCGAATAAATTTCCAACAAGTATTTACATTGTATCATAGATCAAATTTATTTGTTCAGTGTATGTTCACTGGTGTTAAAATGTCTTTTGATTGAGTTAAGCCATTTCAATTGATTTTTATAGTGTGTCTTTCTATGTTGTGATGTTACACTATTGTTTCAGATAGGGTGAAGGTTTGGTACCATTAAAACTTTTAAACCCGCTGCAATTGTTTGCACCTGTCCTAAGTCAGGAATCTGATGTTCAGTAGTTGTCGTTTATTGATGTGGTTCATAAGTGTTTCTCGTTTCTCATTTTTTATATAGATTAGACCGTTGGTTTTTCCGTTTGAATGGTTTTACACTAGTAATTTTGGGGCCCTTTATAGCTTGCTGTTCGGTGTGAGCCAAAGCTCCGGGTTGAAGACCGTACTTTGACATATAATGGTTTTCTTTTATAAATTTTGACTTGGATGGAGAGTTGTCTCATTGGCACCATACCACATCTTCTCATATCTATCTACTTCCATGAATTATTTCTTAAATATGCAAAACTAATTACGTCTTTCAGGTATATTTTATGAGGACAATGGGGATGAATTCATGAGCTCAGCTTGTTCTTTTTTCTATAAATAATCAGTAAGAATAAGACATATGTGCTGTATGTCAAACGGTAGTATTGTTTACAATAAAGGCAAAACCAAAAGTGAATAGCAAAGGAATACTATTATTTACTATACTTATTCTTATTTACACAAATATTAAACGTTTCACATGTTCAGTAGAGATACAACTGAAAAAAATACCTCATTTCAACCTTTTAAAAATCTACTACCACCCTGATAACTTCAGATAATCAAAGCGATACACATAATTATCTGCATACCTGTGGTGTACTAGAAAAAAGGCGAAGATCCAAGGATGTCGTTTAGAGAAAGTATTTGCATCTTTAATTGACTGTCGAAGTTAGTCAGATGATGGTGTATTGTCGCATAATCTCTTTATTTTCATGCATTATAAAAAAACTTTAAATTTATATCTTTAGGTGTTGGAACACTATGGACAAAGGATTTTTCTGGATAATTAAAGGTCCAATTATGGTAACATGTATTGTAAGTTAACAAATTACAGTACCGTTACTTTCCTGAAAATACGAAACTCAATATCATACTACAAAACATGCCAATGAAGCAATAGCAATATCTAACTTATAAATAGTGACGATATATTAGCCTTATTTGGCTCAATTGTTTTGGAATGTTCGATATAAAATGTTCTTCTAATTCGTATTTGATTCGGCTTTCCGACTGTTTAGGTTCTAGCGTCACGGACAAGTATGATGTAGGCAAAAAGGTCGTCTTTCGTTCAAAATTGTAAACCTAGTATATGTGATGAGTTTAATGATTATGTATTACATTTTCTCATTAATGACACGTCAGGTTTTATCAAATCCTTTATTCTATGAATAAACATATTTTTCAAAGATATCATTGTCACACCTATTAATAGGAAAATGTGATACTTAATTATTAAAACTTATGTTAATTGTTTAATTTTGGCTTCGTGCGGAAATCGTAATGTGACTCCTTATTTTCCAAAATGCCTTCCTAATTGATCAAAATCAAACCTGGTTAGTCATTTGTTTTGTGTGTGAAAGATGTATGGTATTTGTTGATCAAGGTTTCAATGCTGCATATTTTTGCCAAGTGAACGATTCAGACTCCATGGAGCTTCTAGTTAATTTGACTATGTACTTGATTCAATATTATTTCAAAGAAAATTCTTTATTCAATTATTTTTTATTGCAGATAAATCTAGTGTTTTTTATTAATATTATTCGAGTGTTGTATACAAAATTGAATGCAGCACACACAAAAGATCCAAATAAATACAGGTATGTTTAATCAGGTTTTAACTTCAATAGCAATGTTTATTATGTTTTTCTCTTTCGAACATTTGTAGCCAGCATTATGTGGTTCAACAGATGTGTCATCAAGTAATATATAAAAAGTCAAAGTAGGAGTTGCCCTACAGTACATCAGACCAAATAAACGACCAACATCCGTCCACTTACGAAAAACAAACATACAAACGAAGAAAAACAATAACGAATGACAACTTTTTGAGGTAGCCTGAGTTGGTGCTGGTACATGTATTGATTCGCGATCATTAGACTAATACTATGACTGTCATACTGTATACCTTTCAGCATCAAAATAAACAACGATTGAAATAAGCCATGATTGAATTATTACATACATTTGATAAATTCTCAAATGACACATTTGGAAAAAATAAGGCAAATTTCACGGGCAAAAATAAGGCAAATTACACGTTTAGTGTCTTTTTTACTGAACGTTTTAATAGCTATCCAGGTATATGTACATCTTCAATATATTTTGCCTCCTACGTTCCTTGTTATATATGGTGAATTTGGGAATATCTTTATGGAACGGTAAATCAATGGAACGTTCGCAATGATCGATACGACTGTTGATAAACTGTTCTCAGAAGTCAATGTATTTATTCATTATATGTTGTAATGAATTGTAAGCTGATAGATTTTGTTCATTTTACCAAATAGATATAAGAAGATGTGGTATGTGTGCCAATGAGACAACTCTCCATCCAAGTCAAAATTTATAAAAGTAAACCATTATAGGTCACAGTACGGTCTTCAACACGGAGCCTTGGCTCACACCGAACAGTAAGCTATAAAGGGCCCCAAAAAATTACAAGTGTAAAACCATTCAAACGGGAAAACCAACGGTCTAATCTATATAAAAAACGAGAAACGTGAAACACAAAACATGCTTACAACTCCATAAGGTAACGCAGACCTTAGAATATGATTATTTTAATTCAAATAATCGAATTTAAAACATACCGCCGAGGTGATAACAAGTTTAAGGGTTTCTCATCTTGGGAGATTTTAAGAGTTTTTGGAGAAAATAAATCTAGAAAATGTGGTTTATATCAACCTTGAATTGATGATAACCATATGTGTTTTCAGAAGTCCATATTTTTTGGTCTGTAATTTTAACTATGCCGAAAATGTCTACGCATAATCTTATTACACACATGTATTATCTTTTTATGTGAATAATTCAAAATATTGTAGAAAGTTGGCCAGATCAACATTGGTACTCATTCCTTTGTTTGGTGTGTATTATGCAGTTTTTATAGCAGTGCCTATATGTATGGATCCTAAATTAGAGGTCATATGGATGTATTCGGAAATGTTCTTCAATTCATTCCAGGTTAGTGATGAAGGATGTAACCACAAATGTATATAGTTTATTTCAATTTTACATAAAAATTAAAAGGGATAACTGGAATCATCAAAAATACTGCACAGAACCACAGACCATATCGACAATTAACACCCGACTCTTCTGAGAGAAAAAAACAGAAAAACAAAACAAAGACAAACAAAATATGGTCAAGATAGCCTGATGTAGTACAGGCACAAACATGGGGGGCTAAACAAGTTTTACAGGTGATATAGATACAAGTATCCTGTTGTTTACATTAAATGTTTTAAATATTTCAAATATCAAATCAATGATTGGTTATTATTTCGTTTCAGGGATTTGCAGTTGCCTTATTATTTTGCTTCATGAACGGGGAGGTAATCATAACGTTTCTTGAACAAAATTATTACACAATTACATAGTTTAAACATTGAGAGGGTAAACTACAGAAAAATTAAATTTTATTTTGATGACGCAAGAAATATGTTGCCTTTTTCAGAATATGTCTTGTATTAAAATAAAAGTGATAAACTATGGTTCTCGTTTAGACAAATTGCACGACAAATAATCGCACTCAGTTTCATAGTTTGATTGATATTGCCATATTAAACTATTTACTCTTTCATTAAAATTCTTATATTTGAAAAAAAAAATATTCAGTTATAAGGCTAGTATCTTTTTTGACTTCTTACAAGATCTTAAAATGCACTATACTTAATAAAACGTATCAGTAGTTAACATATGTTCAAACCTCTTAAATTTTTTTTTTAATATCCCAACTAAGAGAAAGAACTGACCGAATCGAATACACTCAAAACAGAGCGCGATGGTCTGAGTCGATTAAGTAATACCTAATATGTATACATCACCCAAAGTACAATTCCGCACCCAGCAAATAATATCACGATAGGTCATACAACACAATTAGTAGATATCCTAATTAGACTACTAGTTTGCTGTATTAAAATTTAAGATGGAGAAAACATGTATCATGTGAGTTTGTTATGAATTGTTGTGATCGATTTTAATCATTTTTCTTCTTCAAATCCCTGGTTGATCGTCTGAATGTGATAAATGCAGTCCACAAACGAGCGTTACGTATCAATTAAGATTTGCATAAGCTATACGATAGGACAAAAGGTAACGAGAAGTGTGAAGATGACAGACAATGGGAACACTGAAACCATCACGTTTTTCATAGATTATTTCAACTTTGAAGAAGTCCAGATGTGTCAATGTCTCGAAAAAATATATATTTGGGGGTACCTTCTGTTTGTAGTGCTAAGGTTGACAATAATATTTGAGATCAAAGTGGGAGATAATATGAGAGATATTCAATATTGTTTTTATGATAAGTTAAATGTTTAACACCAATAATTCGTGCCCCGGACAGAAAGGCCATACCAGAAAGTAATACATAGTTCAAACATAATAGTTCCTATGGATAGATGTAACTTCCAAAATATGTACAATATATTAATAAAACTGAAAATGAAATTTAAAAAGAACGGCATGTATTGCTTGTTTCTTAGTTGTAAAGTACAATGTACCTGTTATGGTACCTACAAAATTCCGGGCACCAGTACGACCTTATATGCAATTTAAGTTAAAGAAAACGTTTGAAATACAACAGCAAGATAATGTTAGCAATGTGCTCTTTTCGTCAATAAAAAAGTCCGCCGTGAATGATCGGCAATTCCATATTAACCAACAAACAAACAAAACACGTCGGAGATTTTGATTTGTTTTATTTCAGTTTTGACATAGAGCGATTTTTATTGACAGGTTCATTCGGAGATCAGGAATCATTGGCGTGGACAGCGTATGATATTAAGGCAAAGCAACTTATCACGTTCCAAACCTTTTATAAGGAGAAACAATGATATGTTTTGATATTGACACATCATATGCTATATCACAAATTTAGATGAGAAATTAATATGATATGTATACGCCTGTCGAATTCCATGTGGTCCAATGACATTTGTTTCAGTTTAAAACCGTTCATTAAATATATTTCATTTATTGATTGTAATTCACAGGTTCAAAGAGAAATCAAGAAGCATTGGCGTCGTCGGCGTATAATGCGCTGTCAAAGCAACATGTCTTCACGTTTAAAAACATTCGTTACAGACCATGACACACATCACACGTGTATTCCGGACACTTGGGATACAAATGGAAACATGGAACTCAAGGAACTGACTATTCCAATGTGTAATGTCGATATTGATCTCAATGTAAATGCGCCTCAGGGATTAGACGAAAATTTACCCATTTTGAAACCTTGAAATAAATGCGTTTTGTACATATACATCGTTATTGCATTTTAGCAGTAATTGCTAATACGGCTATACGTAGAGACATCATCATATTGATTTACTTATCATCACAATTACTATAAGGACTACTTCAAAAAAGTCAGTGGTTATTATTTTAAATCTTTCGATAGTTATTCGAAAAAAGCTTCACCTATTTTAGGTCAATAGTCAGCCAGTAAAAGACTACAGAAAGATAAAAAAAAATACGAACTTTAAACCTGAATGTTACACGCAATTACATAATGTAATTAAATAGAGGACAATATCTATAAATGATAGATTATATTCTGAAATCGAGTTTATATTTTGGAAAATAGATTAAGAATATACACCTCTGAGGAGCTAAATATTTCTAGAATTAAACTTTTTTTCTTAACAGGATTTTTGAGTTTATATGACTGTAAGAAAGTAATTGATGAAGAAAAAATCATATGATGGTGCACTTTTTTTGCTACGGCCATTTGAAAGTACCCAATTTTTAATGATTTTCCCTTTTTTCATCAATTTTTACCCATTTTTGGGGGTTTTTTCATGAAAAAATCATAGTTTCACAATTAAACTTTTTTTTATACTTTCACTATAAAAGATGAAGTGGACCAATCTGAATAAAATTAACTTAAAAAAAACTATAGGTTAGTGTTAATATTAAAAAGTTTTATTAAACTTTAATGCTTTTTCGTGTCAAATTGACCATGCTGTTAATTTTGTAAATTTAGGATTTTTCTCATTTCTTAGAACAAAAAGCATATTATTTCAATTTCTTTGTTATAAATGTTTTAAAAAATACAGCTTAGAATTTTGAAAAGAAAAAATTGATATGGGATGTACATATTTTTGGTAAAATCATTTCTTTGTACCCCTCACCAATTTTCTCAACATTTTGGCTGATGACTCTGACCGGATTGGTTATAAAATTTGAAAATTTTATTACTCAAAAACTACTATTTGTAAGTACACAATTTTTTCAAAGAGTATAGTTTGATTGAAATATTTTTTAAATTCGTTGATATTTTCCACTTGTATCACATGTTTTGGAAACAATTCCCGAACGAGATTTAAACGAGACTGAAACATCAGAAGATACATCCTTAAACAATTTATAGCCGTCAATTTTTTCAAGCGGAAAGAAAAATGTTATAAATTGTAGATCTGACTGTAGAAAAGAATGCTGATTTGAGTACTTCTCGATAAAAAGGCCGCTACAGAAGTTTTAGAAAATAATTAGTTACTTATATCATATAACACGTTGTAGTATATTTTAATGTTTTCGAATCGATCATCATTTAGCCCGCCAATAGTAATAGGGTATGTTTAAACGGAGTAAACAAAAATGTCTTGCAACAGGCGACCTACCTACCACTTACAGAGTTGTTAAAAGGTTTTCTAAAGTTTAGATAATTTCACAGTTTCCTCATACGATGCATTGGATCTAACATCTGCATTTTGACTCCGTATTGATATAATCCGCACTAGCCAACGGACACCCCTCTTTAGCATGGGTTTTACTGTCTGACGAAAAAATCCTAGATGACTATATGTATTTACCCAAGATACCAATAGGGCTTGGACGTATTAGCACAAGCACAAATATCAGCTAAATGCATTTCCCCTACTTAATTTACCGAAAAAACAAAGAGACAAAAAAAGTAACCGTGATGTATTATAAAGTCAAGATTCATTTGTACAATGCGTATGATGGAAAAATAATTTACAAATTTTGCTAACTTGATATTTATACGTCTTGCACTTCAAACGGAAAAAATGTTGTATTTTTCATGATAAAAATAACAAAACAAAAAACCAAAGAAACATGTTTCGGACCATATTAGCTAAGAAAACAAACCCGTAACAATGTTACGGCGATCATATCATATAGTTTTGATCTATCCCGTCATTGTGTTATTGTGCTATGGACATTCATTGTATTCTTTTTTCTTTCATTTTTGCTTATGAGCTTTTTTCTATAGAGTCACTATACGCCATCTTGATTTTCTTTGTTGGCATAGTTCTTTGTGTCTATAGTGATTAAGAACATAACACGATGTTGACTGCTGTACCACAATTTTTGACATTTTTACCTTTTATGTCTGTTTGTTTTGCTCACATATTGTTGTCAATATAATGGAATTATATGCGACTGTCATACAAGTGAGAGGTTTAGCTAGCTATAAAACCAGGTTTTATCCACCATGTTCTACATAAGGAAATGCCTGTACCTCGTCAGGAGTTTTTTTTTCCATTAGTTTGATGTGTTTCAGCTTTTGATTTTACCATTTGATAAAGGAATTTCCGTTTTGAATTTTCTTTGGAGTTCGGTATTTTTGTTTTTCTACTTTTTATGTGATTCGAAGTAATAAAATGACTCCCAACATGGATGAACAGGTGATAATACGAATCCAGTGGTACAAAATGATGATTATAAGACTCCGCCATTGGACAAATTAATGACTTAATACAACTTCAATATGGTACAAATTACCTGATCAAATGCCTCTCAATCGTGGTACAAAAACTTCCAAGAATTGTGCTTCTTGATTGCCTTTTGTGTGTCTCAAGTTCGGTTCGCAGATGACGATAGAAAATACTGGTTACCGAATCTTTTGAAAATTTGAACACAACGTTATAAATAATAAAATACTGGTCAAGTTCGAATTTGATAATGTTGACATTTTCTGTTTAAGAGTTATTCCTCTTAGTTACCTTATAATTTTAATTTGTTTGGGGTCAAGCTTATTTCAGCATGGGTTGTATTACACAAAGGATAACTAGCGCACTTGATGATATAAGCATGCAACTATTTGTTTTTGTCTGGCTTAGTTTATGCAGCTGATAATTGCATATTCTCCTTTCATCTTTAAACCTGATGGTACTCGTTTCTAATTTTGATTTACATTTTACTATTCTTTTGCATCTTTCTTTACTAAATGTTAAATTATGTCCAGAGCACATACCAAGTCAGGAATAAAGCAGTTGTTTTTCACTTGTTTCGTTGATTGATAGCGTTTGATTTTGTCAGTGTTTATGGACTTCCCCTTTTTGAATTTGCCTTGCAGTTCAGTATTTTGTTATACGTTTTCCTTATTGTCATAATCCTGGATCATACATTTATGATTTAAATGCATGTGCCCAATTTCATTAAGTGATACCATTACCATTCGAAGCTAGATGTTTATAATGTTAACAAATGATGAAACGCAATTCAATGTAACTGATTTTTAATAGACCTATTATATTTGGTGGACCGCTTTAGGAAATACATTGTTCAGCATTCATAGATTTCTCTATAAACCTTTTACATCCGTTTTGAACTTTTTAACTCCTGCATGTGGGAGATTAGGCTTGCCGTGTTCAATATAAAAGGACGAAAAGTGTGTCAGTAATACAGTATTAATTGATAGAATAGTTTTAAATGTTTTCTTCCTGTTCTTGATATTTATTCGAACTTTCCATTTTCTATACCACTTCGAGGTTTAAAACATTGGTAATTACCTTAAAGTTATTACATGATATTCCAAACGTCGACATTCATATGCTTTCACAAACGCATTAACGCAGTTAATGACATATGTATCCAATATTTAATATTCCATCTACATATTACTGTTCTACATATTTATAATTATCATAGCTGAATTTGTTTATACATACAATGTCAATTAGGAATCACATATACATAACTAATGTTATCTAATACATAGCTAAATTGAGTTGTGATCGAGTTAGAAAGAAGTATAACAATTTCGATCAGGAACTGCCTCATTCTCGGGCATAACATCCTCATAAGGCTGGATTTCTCTAAGCTGTTGTTTTATCTGCAATTAATGTAGATACAGGATATTTTGTAGTATTACAACTGGGTAAATGTCGCTACTGGTATACTTACGTTGCCGAGGGTACTACAAAACTAGTTTAGTACCGACACGATCCTATTTCATTGATACTTGAAAAAAATTTAAGATAACTAAAACATGTTACATTTGTTAAGATGACATTCGTTTGATGTGTTTTGTCATTTGATTTTGCCATGTGATTAGGGACTTTCCGATTGAATTTTCCTCGGTGTTCAGTATTTTTGTGATTTTACTTTTTTTTTTATATATATTTGATTTCGAGCACCGCAGTGATGAGAAATTTTCTAATGCGCATTAAACAAATTAAACTTGGTATCATGTAGTTTCTTTTCTCAACTTGAATAGTATATACATGTGTATTGCTGCAAATGCACTATCGGATAACAACTTACTAATAATTGGTACCATTATGACTAGTCAAGGGAAAACAAATTAAATCATATATCAATTTATAGAATTTCAATGTGTATTACAATTGTTCTAAGGCAAAAATTAGTGTTGGTTCACATAATGATTAAATATAATTTTTAAAATTAAATCCCCCTTTGGGATTTCAAGGCCAAGAAAAGTCAGAATAAACGACATTATAGAAAAATGTGTGTCCAAAAGTTATGTTCTAAGTTTGAATAGCAATATCTTCAAACAGTGCAATTTAGTAAGATGAGTGTTAATTTCGCCTACGCGTAATAATGCATAATATAACTTTTCTTTACAATTAAAAAAAATAGCAAGAGCGGAATAATCGGTTTTGTTTGAGAAGCATCTGACATGGTTTTCAGACTTAGCATCATTTAATACCAATATCCTTCGTTATATGTTATATGAGAATAAGGAAATGTGTAATGATTACCAATGAGACCATTGTGCACTAGTGACCAGGGTCGAGGATGTTAACAACTATACTTCGCCATATGGCTCTCATCAATAAGCAAAACCCATACTGTAAAGTAAAGTTATAAAAGGCAGCGGCATGACAAAATGTGAATTAATTCGAAAAAGAAAGCTAACGGCCTGATTTATTCTCAAACAGAAAATTGGGCTTGGTTAGTTTTATTTGTTGTTAAATATCATTTTAATGTTTCATTACTGTTTTGTTTTAAATTTACATTTCAAAAATGTGATTAATATTATTATGCACTGTATTTCAAAAAATAAAAAAAAACTTTGAATGACTCCAGTGAAGATACTCAATAAGATTTCATACATGTCAGGTAGTATTGCAATTTTTAGAAAACGACTAAGGACGGACCTTTTGTTCGGAGGAGGTTACTGTTTATTCCGCATATGGTCAATTTTTCGATGAATTTACCTTTTCAACTTTTCTAAATACTCTGATAAAATTTTCGCCTGCCAGCTTTTGTAATTCATCGGGAGTCCATCCCTGTCGATGTAATTCTGTAAACAATTCTGGATATTTGGATACATCTTCAAGGCCTGTTGTGTAACTATGATAAAAATTAACAGATTACAGCTGACAAACCAATTATGGTAATGATAGAACACAACGTGTGTTTGTTAAAGCACTTACTTCAAATAAAGATCATTTATTAGTTTGAAAATTTATCACGGTGTTTGATATATCTTTTTTACCGATTTTATGTATTTGTGTGATCTTTGTGCAGTGTTTTATTTTATTTTTTGCGATCGCCAAATTTCAGTAGATTTTATCAAGGTACTGTTCTTTTCATGTATTCAATATTAGAACTTACATACCTATGTTTACTTATTTCTTTTCTTTACATTTTACGCTTGAACTTGAGTTTTAGTGGTTAGTGGCTGTTTCAATGAAAAAGTTCGTTTTTCAATCCGTGAATCGAAATTGGAAAAACAAACGAAAGGTTAATTTTTTTCCAAACAATAACAAAACACTGTCAGGAATATCTATATTGGCCGTTTACGATTCAATTATTTATATTAAGGTTAGGTAGAACTACGAATATGCCAAAAGTTGTGCACCTTTTTGTTTCTGAAAGTATGTAACAATATAAAAGCCAAAACATACTAAAATGATTGACTGGGTCAAAATGATGGTTTATTGAGAATAAAGATATATGCTATACGAGATGTTTAAATACGATTTTAAGTCCGGTTAGAATAGGGACGTTTACTTTGATGGATTGAGTAGAGAAAAGGCCAATTTTTCTGCGCGTAAAGGAACCCTTCAAACAACAAGCTGTTACAAGATTAATTAAAATCATATCCTTATTTTTGATTGACGTCGAAATACCCACCCTTCATTCCTGTCAAGCAACTTGGATTTATTGTTAATCTGTTCTCGTCTTGGAATATTAACCCACTGGACGTTAAGCAAGGAAAATAATTTATAGATGAAGCATTTTGTCGAAAATGGAAGTGGCCGCACTTCATTCTTAATATTTAGATATATGTTAATTTTGTATTTGATATTAATACATAACATTTATAAATGTTGAGACTGAACACGAATGCGGCCACTTCCATTTTAGACAAAAATCATCTGAAAAGTGACGTGTTGTGGCATATTTGATAGATTTTTCATAGAATCATGTGCAAAACAGTGTAGCCGAGACCATTGATTGGCGCGCTAAAATATCCCATTGACTGGGTCAGATTAGGTGAACGTTCGTCTGTAACGCCCACAACTCACGACGTATTTATTATAAACATTTAAACTGTGGGGTTGCCAAAGGGTCTCAGTATATATACGAACTACAGTGCACAGTATATTATATACATATTTTATTTGCGATCATAAAATGTACGAAGTCGTCCATTACTATGTAAATTGGGTCGATTAAAAAAAAAGCTGAATATGTTTCTGTTGCCAAGGGTTTTTCACAAGTATAGAAGTTAGCAGAAAAGATCATCAAACTATACATTGTATACTGAACTGCGGCCAAGCTTAGCGAAAGGTCGTGCAACATAATCAGTCAAACAAACTTTATTAGATTAACTCGTTAAGGAACGATCGTTTTCATTGGTCAATTCAAACCCTTGACCTCACACCTGCGAAAATAGAACAAGCGTACTATAAAGCTGAATGGACTGATCAGTATTCACGTAGCCGGTCAAGGTCGTTAAAAACTTCCATCGTCGTATTCACGTAGATGATTGTGTTCTTGATTATCCCATGGCAATTCTAGCTTTTATACATGTGCATGTAAAATTTTAAACTTTAATCTTAACAGTCACGTCGAAATATTTAATTCAACTGTCTCCTCTCAATTGGTTCTGGATTAAGGGAACTACCATTTTATTTTGATTGGGGGTGGGGGACTTGGATGAAACATTTTGTCCTGCATTTTTTTTTAGTTGTTATCTCTGTCCTGTCTTTCTATTTTTCAGTCTGTTAGGTCCTGACTTTATTTATTAGTTTATCCTGATTTTTTTTACATGAATCGTCATCCTGCATTTTTTTTTGTCAAGTTGCTCACCCTGCCTTATCTTTAATTCAATGGACTTGATGAATTAACGTTGTACTTGAAATGAAACCGTACTTAACTACAAAAATAACCAAATTACATACTAAAGATATTGCTCGATTTTTATAGTAAATCGGTTTGTGTTATAAACTGTCATGTTCATTATTCATATTCTTTCATAAGTTTTAGGATAGTGTGATTTTTTTCTGATTTAGTTTACTTGATTTTGAAAAAAAAAGCCCGAAATTCTAAGTAAATTCAGAACATGTAACCAACCATGCTTTGTTTAGAGAAAAAATGGAGATGGCAAACCATGGCACAGTGGAAGGAAATGTACTTTATAAACTCCAGCGATATACTTTCTTAATTTATAATTAACTGTTTTGCTATCCTCGGTTGAAAATTATATATTGTAAATATTTAAATAGTTGCATAGAAAACAATCAGTTTTAAACAGTGTGGTTATTCACTAAATGTATTGATAAAAGGTGACTCCATTTTTGTACATACTTTTACAGTAGTCATCCTTAATTTCTTAATATTTCGTTTATAAGTTTATCATACATGTATGATTTTGTATTTCATTTTAATACGCACGCATGCCACACGTTACTCTGGCGGATAGTTCAACAATGTTATGCAAAGCTCTATTCTTACGGTATGAAATTAAAGGATAAATTTTCAACCAATTAAAATCGAAAACAGTACATTTATATAGTTCCTTATAAACTACGACATTTCTCACAAGTATTTATTTATTTTTTAGTTCCACACATTCAAAAATAAAATCTTCGCCGATGAAACATTTCAAACCTTTTTACACCAACATGCCTTCACTGAATTCATTTGAATTTCGTGGTGACCATGATAGTACATTGCATAGCACATCTATATTCACGTGCACACATGATACGATCTTTCGGGGACAATTTGCCCGTTTATGACACGTCATTTCTGAATGACCAAACGCTTAGCTACTTTATTTTCGTTTTATAGCATGAAAACAATAAAAGAGGAATGTGCAACCCATCATAAATTTGAAATGGATCAGTATTATGAGATCCTTATTATAAGTAACTACGACATTGTCAGGATAATAACCTAGCGTCAATATGAAAGAAATTAAAGTGGTTCATACATTCATCCGTATTAAAGCGGCACATGTATTTTATTTTATCCTTATATTTTTCATAGTGCGGTACAAGTGCTGCATGCATAAAGAATATTACTTAACACAAATTATTAGTATAATATTTCGACCCCACTATTTGAAATTCACAAAATACTTATTTAATTATTTCGACCAAAAATCATTGTTTTTTACGTTCGTAGTAACGTAGTACATTCCATTGTCGGTCACCTGTGTCAATTCACGTGCACACTACAATTGTTGTTGTATTTAAATCTTTCGGCCAATGAAATGAGACGTTACAAGTTGTTTGTTTGTGATACGCCAGAATGTTATCAATGAATTATCAATCGCTAAACTTGACTGTACCTATTCAAAAATGTTAATGCAAATTTCACAAGGCTTGATCCAAATAGCCTTTTTACTGTCTAATAACTTGCAAGTACGAAAAAGATAGGAAAGAAGTATATTTTGTGTATATGTTTTGTGTTTGCACACTTTTTAAAGTTGATCATGCATTCGTTCTAAAATAAAATTTTGACCAGATAAAAGTTGAAAGATGACATAATTAGACAACCGCAATTGTTAAATCGCTTTGACGTCCGAAAAAAAGATAATAATCAACACATCCATTGTAACTTTTAAAGCCAGTTAAATCCTTTTTTGCTGAAAGAACGTCCGATATCATAAAAATTCATTATCAAAACATAACAAAAACACAAGTAAAGAACGTTTAAGTATTCAATATAAATCAAAACACAAAGGTTATTCCTGATTAGTTTTTTGAATTATTTTATTTAGGCGTTGAGACCCTTTGGTGACCCCACAGTTTAAATTCTATAATAAGTACGTCGTGAGTTGTGGGCGTTACAGACGAACGTTCACCTAATCTGACCCAGTCAATGGGATATTTTAGCGCGCCAATCAATGGTCTCGGCTACACTGTTTTGCACATGATTCTATCTAAGCATGAATTTGAGCGTCTTTAATGACCAAATCAGTTCAAACCTTTAACATAAACTAATTAAATCAACTAAAGTAGACACTTAAGTGTTTAAAAAACGTCAAAAATCTTTCATCAGTTGTATTTCGATTTTTAGGCCGAAATTAGCCCTTACCGGACCTTCTCCTTTACAGAAGTCCAAATACAGACTTCTTGTGATTCCTAAAATATTATGTTTTTCTTTCTTTTTAACATTTTCTTTGGGGTCCAACTTTTGTCAGGCATTTTTAAAGGGAATGGAGACTCTTAAGATGAATAACCTCTAAAGGAAACCCTAATATATCCATGATCTAATGATGTTGCACTTACGCACAATCCAGTGTTTTATCCACCTTAAATTGAAATAACCAAATTGAAACTGTCATGTTATTGGTCTTACCTTGGTATTCCATCAAAATCAGAACCAATACCAACATAATCAATACCAATTAAATCCTTAATATAGTTGATATGATCTGAAAAGTGAAACGTAGTAATATATGCCAAGTGATTGCTGTGTACTTGTAAAAGGTTCAGTTCTGTGAAAGTAAGAATTGAAGATTAATTCATCTAAGAATCGCAATTCAAACTGAATTATGTTGAACTAAACATGGTCACATATAATGTACTCGTAGCCGAAGTACGATGAATGTTAAAAACAATATAAGATTCAGCATTTTGTTTTTCTTATTTCTTATCGTATCTGAATAAGTTACCAGCACAGACATCGAGCTACATGTTTTGTATCTTAATGTTTTTAAAAAATGTAAATGTTATTTTGCAGTGCGACCAAGATGTTATTTTTACCGTGTCATTTTTGTGGTTTTAATACTCAACAGGTGTAACTAGTGGAGTGGGAAAGACTTGCGTATGAATATACCCTTTGTATTTTGTAGGTTCGTTTTACTCAACTTTATATTGTTGTAACTGATAAATGTTTAGCGGGCTTGTCTGGTTTTGTTTTGTTTTTTTGTTTTTTTTTGGATTGGTAATACTTGGGATTAGGATTGATATAGTTTCTCCTGTTTTTACGATTTCGTACTACAACAAAAATACAAACATACATGATTATAAAATTTATGAGAAAAAGAATAAATATTAGAAATTCCAATAACAATTACATTTTAAAGTCAAGATTTGCGAACGTAAGGAAATGTCGTATGTAAATTCTTCCTCTCACTAGGAAAACCGCCATGAGGTATGGTTGTAGAAGTACTATTTAACACACTGTATCAGCACAGATTAAATAGAACATTAGTTAACCTATTCCGAAGTCCTGCTGTGACAAGTCATAGTACAAGAAAGTTATAAAACAGCACTTTATAAATTTCATGCGTCCAAATCATTTAGGCGAGTATGTTTGCATATTTTTATAGCATTGTATCAATTGATTTTTTTCGGGGTGGTGGCTGGGGGCTAGGTTATATATCTCTTCAACTATTTCGGTTCTTATACATCCTTGGCTTTCAAATATTCGGATTTACGTTCAAATCCGAATATTTGAAAGCCAAGGATGTATAAGAACCGAAATAGTTGAAGAGATATATAACCTAGCCCCCAGCCACCACCCCGAAAAAAATCAATTGATACAATGCTATAAAAATATGCAAACATACTCGCCTAAATCTTTCGTCCAAGTCTATTTCATTTTAATTGTTATCAAGATAGCGACACCACAAAACGCATTATTAGAAATCATATTATTTTTTGATAAAAACGTTTCAAAGATATATAACATAAATAAGTATAGACTAAGACTTTTTGAGAACATCAATACATGTACACCATGTACGCTGCATTTGTTTTGAATGCAATTTGACCAGTTTGTTTATACCTTTCTAATTATTTCACCAATAATAAAATTAAAGAAATAAAACATCATGCCGACAAATAAAACAAACCTAGCGCGATCACAATGAAAGTTTTATCAAGACTATGGTACATGTAGATGAGGTTTATATGTTTTATTAATAAAGTGATATTATGCATAGTTTATTTTAAATGAATATATCATTATTTCTGATGGGTGTAAATAAGGGGATATGTAAATCTTTCCCATTTGTTTACTTTTCGACCATCAAACTGAGTGACCAGACAGTTAAACATTATTGTATTAGAATACTACGGAGCCCTGTTGGTCTCACACAGATTATAAAGTGTCTTTTAAAGTCCTGCGCTGAAGATGTGTACGCTGGAGATGTAAAGTCTAGCGCTAGAGATGTAAAGTCTAGCGGTTGAGATGTAAAGTCCAGCGCTGAAGATGTAAAGTCTAGCGCTTGAGATGTAAAGTCCAGCGCTGAAGATTTAAAGTCTAGCGCTGGAGATGTAAAGTCCAGCGCTGGAGATCTAAAGTCTAGCGCTGGAGATGTAAAGTCAAGCGCTGAAGATGTAAAGTCTAGCGCTGGGGATGTAAAGTCTAGCGCTGGAGATGTGTAAAATCTAGCGCTGGAGATATGCAAAGTCTAGCGCTGGAGATATGCAAAGTCTAGCGCTGGAGATGTAAAGTCAAGCGCTGGAGATGTAAAATCAAGCGCTGGAGATGTAAAGTCTAGCGCTGAAGATGTAAAATCAAGCGCTGGAGATATAAAGTCTAGCGCTGGAGATGTAAAGTCAAGCGCTGAAGATGTAAAGTCTAGCGCTGGAGATATAAAGTCTAGCGCTGGAGATGTAAAGTCAAGCGCTGGAAATGTAAAGTCCAGCGCTGGAGATGTAAAGTCAAGCGCTGGAGATGTAAAGTCTAGCGCTGGAGATGTAAAATCAAGCGCTGGAGATGTAAAGTCCTGCGCTGGAGATGTAAAGTCAAGTGTTGAAGATTTAAAAACCAGGACTCCAGGGTACCGTTTCTCTAAAGGTCGTAAGAGTTACAGCCAGTCGTAACTCTTACGACCTTTAGTGAAACAGTACCCAGTGCTTTCAAAGTTATCAAGATGCATAATTCCTACCAAATTTTTTTTAAAAACTCATCTTTGAATTCACTTCAGCTATTATTGTGACCTATATATAAATTTATCCAAGTCTGATAAACCAGAAGCTCTAGAGTCTGTAATCGTTCACCTGGTTTAAATGAACTTATTGGTATGTTCTACGCAAAACTATGTTTGGCTGCGGAAGCTATCTTTGATTTCTAAAAATTGGCACCACAATCATAAAATTTTCTTTGTATTGAGTCAGTACCGATTGCAAAGTTTTAACAAAATAAATTGTGTGTTTTGGCAAATTTGTTTGACGGTTTGGTCTAACTTGAATCTCAGGGGTGCACCATAGCCTGTGTCGCTAATCCTGTAACCCGATCCTGGTCCCAAGGCATAGCAAATGAAAGCCATATTGGATACGAGGAGATATTGTAGATGACCCTTTATTCATCATTCCTATTAGGATACAGTTGACTCTCGTTATGTGGAACTCGAAGGGACCGATGAATTTATTTCTACTTAACCAAAAATTCGAGTAATCAGGAGTAAATTTACTTAAATATTACTACAAATGGTCCAAACATTCTGTTCGAGTTATCCGACAATTCGACTTACCGTATTCCTCGTATTAAGCGCCCAGGGCGCTTACAAAATTCCAAAGAGGGAGCGCTTATTGAAATTGACAAAACCCGGAATTTTTACCGCTTCGAAACTGTTTCTGGAGTAAAATTACCATTTAAATTGTGTTTCCAGTTTGAAACTCATGCCACAAACAGAAACATACTGACGTTTCTACGCAAAAAAACGATACTTTTTGGTTATTTTAGAGGGCTCTTATTAATTTTTTGTTGGAAAACTAGGTAGGGGGTGCTTATAATGGCAAGGGTGCTTAATACGAGGAATACAGTACATGTGTTCGAGATAACGAGAGTCGACTGTATTTTCAAGGTTTAAACACTAGGCCTTGTAGTTTCAGAGGACAAGACTTTAGTTTTATTTCTACCAATCAGAAGCAAGAATTTCCCATGGCGACCATTTTTGAAATCAAATCAGCATAAAATGAGGAATCTTTGTATAGGACCTCCCATACACCATTCCCACCAAGTTACAGTTTAAAGGAAAACATTTTTTGATTTCGACCAATCAGAGACAGGTACTGCCCATGGTCACGGTAATGGTGGCTATGTTTGAGGTTGAATCAACACGAAATCTTTGTACAGGACTTCCATACATCATTCCTACCATTTTAGTTACAGTTACTGAATATACTTTGACAGGAGATGATTTTAAATTTCGAAAAAAGAATTGCCCATGGCATTATTGGCTGCCATGTTTGATTGCACAAAATGTGAAATCTTTGTAGAGAACCTCCCATATTTCATTTCTACCAAGTAACAGTTCAATAGGCCTTGTAGTTTCAGAGGAAAAAATTTTGTTTATTTCGACAAATCAGAAACAAGTATTGCCCGTTGTGGCCATGTTTGAAAATCAATCGGCACAAAATGAGGAATCTGTTTAGAGGACCCTCCATACACATTCCTGCAAAATTTGGTTCCAATTGACCAAGCAATTTTGAAGTAGAAGATTAAAAATGTGAAATTTTTACAGACGGAGGATAGACTGACAACAGATGACGGATGTCAAGTGATGGCAAAAGCACAATGTTAAATTATGTTCCGCCAAGGTGGCCGTCAAAACATTGTGGAGGACCATCATAGGTTCATTCATGTATAATGTTGATTCAATCTGTGTAGCCGTTTCTGAGAAAAAAAACTGTTAATATGTTTTTGGAATAGTGTCCAATGTTAAAATGTGCTCCGCTATGGCGACCGTCTTGGATTTTTCGGATTGACACAAAAATCTTAAAATTTGTGAAGGACCATCATAGGATCATTCATACATAATACCAGTTCAATCTCTGTAATGGTAATTGGTATCTGAGAAGAAGCTGTTTACATATTTCCCGTTAGGGTCCAATGTTAAATTATGTTCCTCCATAGCAGACATTCTGGATGTTGGATAGATGCCAAAAACATATTTTTCATGTAGAACCAATATCTGATCATTCATGCATAATATCAATTCATTGCTAAAAAAGGCTTCGGAAAATAACTTGTTTATTATATGTATTTCCCATAGGATTCTATGTTAAGCTATGTCTCGTGGTGGCGGCCATCTTAGAAATTGGTCGAGGTCAACGAACACAAGTTTGGTTCCAATTGACCCAGTGGTTTCAGAGGAGAAGATTTTTTAAATTGTTTTTTTTAAATTGTCAAATTTTCTATTTTTAGTAACGGTGGCGGCCATGTTTGAAATTTGTTGGGGTCATCAACCAAAATTCTTAAAGGGAATCATAACTGTATCATTTACCCCAATTTTGGTAGCAATTGATCCATTAAATGATTTTATAGAATTTTTTTATTGAATTTTTTATTGATTTTACCCCTATGTTTTTTTGATAGCCATGGCGGCCATGTTGGATGACAGGCTGGTACATCGGATACAATTTTGAAAGAAGACACACTAAGGATGATCATGGCCAAGTTTGGTTTTAATTGGCCCAGTGGTTTCAGAGGAGAAGATTTTTGAATTTTTTAAAAAAAATTGTCAAATTTTCTATTTTTAGTAACAAAGGCGGCCATGTTTAAAAGCGGTTGGGGTCATCAACCATAATTCTTAAAGGGAATCATAAGTGTTTCATTTACCCCAATTCTGGTAGCAATTGGTCTATTAAATGATTTTATAGAACTTTTTTATTGATTTTACCCCTATGTTTTATTTATAGCCATGGCGGCCATGTTGGATGACCGGCCGGAACATCGGAAATAATTTTGAAAGTAGACACCCTCCAGCACAAGACTTTGCACATCTCCAGCGCTAGACTTTACATCTCCAGCGCTAGACTTTGCATATCTCCAGCGCTAGATTTTACATCTCCAGCGCTAGACTTTACATCCCCAGCGCTAGACTTTACATCTTCAGCGCTTGACTTTACATCTCCAGCGCTAGACTTTAGATCTCCAGCGCTGGACTTTACATCTCCAGCGCTAGACTTTACATCTTCAGCGCTGGACTTAACATCTCCAGCGCTAGACTTTACATCTCTAGCGCTAGACTTTACATCTCCAGCGCTAGACTTTACACATCTTCAGCGCAGGACTTTAAAAGACACTTTATAATATGTGTGAGACCAACAGGGCTCCGTAGAATACCAAGCAGAGTCATTAAACGTAATCAATACTAAAACAATTCCATAGAAAGTGCAATAATACAGAATCAGTGCAAACATATATACAAAGTAAAGGAAAAGGTCGTCCTGGATGCTGCGCTAATGACATCAAATAAACAAGAAACCGGTCAGGACAAAGGAGTAAGACCGGTAAAACCCCTTTTTGGCCCCAAAATATAGCATTTTTACAAATTTGTTGAAATGTAAACTTTTACCTATCTATTGGAAAGTAGAATACTTTTGTTTTAAAAATATGGGCTGTTTTAACAATGCAATGCACAGGCATCAGGTTCTAGCATCATCAATTCATGCAAAATTACTGAAATCTTCACAATTTTAGCATTTGTGCTAATTTTAAGACGGTTTTTGTCTAAAATGGAAGTGGCCGCATTTGTGTTCAGTCTTGATATTTAAATACATGTTGTATTTGATGATAATACATAACATATACAAAGGTTGTGACTGAACACGAATGCGGCCACTTCCATTTTTGACAAAAGCCATCTGAAAAGCCCTTACCGGACCTTCTCCTTTAAGAAACCAAACCGATATGCCTAGCTGTATTGCTGCTAAATGAAAGCCGAAAGTACTGCGATGATTGATCACGGTAAGAAACTACCGATCTAGGGAAGATTGATCTTGTAGTTACATAAAAAAAAACTACTAATAGACCCCAATCTAGTGGGCACTTGTTGTGCTTAATACATATCTGACGAGTTTAGCCCTTTCAACGGATTTTTATTTTTTCTAATGTTGTACCGTTACACTACTATCCAATTTTTGGAGAGGGAAATTTTCTTAAAAACATCTTAAACCCCACCTTATTATTTGTGTCTCTGTAGTCCTGTGGTTGCTTTCTGTCATAAATGTTGCTTTGTTTTTCGTTTTATGTAATTTGGTTTAAATAAAATTAGCTAAAACGTCTATAGTAGTGCTGGTAATACAAATAACACAGAAGGACACCCGATGTTTCTAGAATACTCATTAATTTTTGCAACGTGATTGTATAATAGTACCTGTAACATGTGTCAGTAATGCCTCTGTAGCATTCCTAGGTAGACATCCTTTACTAATGTATGGAGGATAGAAATTCACCATAACAATTCCATTATTTGCTTTCTGTAATTAGATAATAAATGTAGCAACGGTAAGGCCTATAAGATGTAGTAGATATATATATATATATATATACAAGTTTAAATTGAAAACAACGTTCAAACCTATGATTGCGTTGGATAAAAACCGCAATGTTTATACGGGTGCATGCAAAACAAATTACTTGATAGAGGGGTCTAAATACAGCACAAACAACATTTTCCAAAAGACCAAAAAAGTGAAAAAGGATATTTTAACAAAACGCATTTGACTACCAGGTCGAACAACGGATGTTCCTAAACCCTGCTGACTGCCATTGGCGATTGCCAAATAAATAGATCACCATATGTGACAAAATGGATCTTAATTATTAATTTAATACCAAACAGAAAACAATAAACGGAAAAGATGGTATACCGCAAACAAAAGGTGCAAAAATTAGTACACCATATCCGGATATATATGTTAGACTCAGATCTGACGTCACATTCTTAAATTAGTGTCCAATATTTTGACCCTCTAATCGACGTCCAATGTGACGTCATGTATTGCCAAAACGACGTCCTCAATAAATAATAAATTACTGCACGAATACATGTACATGTATAAGACTTTGATTGAATTTGGAATATTCAAATACGAAATAAAAGATGAATGTTTGTTGGTCTATTTTGTAGAGTTCTTATAAAAACTCAATTTTCAAACAGTTATAGACTTTCCATAGATTTTTTCAAACCGAAATGTGTTACAGATTTATTGATATTCATTTTTAGACCCAGCATTATTGTTATTAGGTTGATCTTTATTTACATCATCTGTATCGTTTTGTATTGATGTAAAGCTGTTTTAAGAAACTTATTGTCTTTATACATGACGAATTGTAATGACTTAGTAGACGTATGAGAGGGAACAACAAAGTCAATTACATCTCTTCCAAAAGATTCATCTAAAACAAAGTAAAAGGACTAACATCGATAAATGACCACAAGACAACCACCGACAGCTTATAACATAAACATGCATATTAATATTCATATTGATTGAAATTAGTCCAATCAATCTACGTTGTCGTATGTCATTCGTATTCATATTGATAAAATGACATGTGAGTATACGTCAATGAGAAAACAACACAACGACAAAGATAACCAAACAATAGCTTTAGAGGGCAACATTCAGTCTTCAACAATAGACAAAACAAAGAAATACAGCCAATTGTTTTGAGAGTATTATTTTCTGACTCTGTAAGATATTTTTCAACATATTTCTGAGTTTTACATCTGGAGTGAAACATATACAAAAGAAATGGGCATTGTTCGGTGTGAGCCAAGGCTCCGAGTTGAAGACCGTGCTGTGACATATAATGGTTTACTTTTATAAATTTTGACTTGGATGGAGAGTTGTCTCATTGCACTCATACCACATCTTCTTATATCTATTGTGTTTTTATGTTGAGCTGTTACACCACTGTCCCAGGATAGGAAAGGGTTAAGCGCACACAAACATGTTTAACCCCACCACATTCTTTATATGCCTGTCCCAATGCAGGAGCCTGTAGTTCGGTGGTTGTCGTTGGTTCATGTCTGTCATATTTGTTTTTTGGATTTTTTTTTTGTTATAAATAAGGCCGTTAGTTTTCTAGTTTGAATGGTTTTACATTTTTCATGTCGGGGCCTTTTAAAGCCATTTAATAAAGTTATGACGTCGTTGCAGCAAGTCCATAAAGTGGACGTCGATTACAGAAACCAAAAATTGGACGTCGATTTGAGAATTACAAAAAAGAAGTCGATTAGAGGGGCATAATATTGGCCGTCGATTTGGAATCCTAATTTATTGTGACGTCAGATTTGGACGTCGATTTGAGGAACGGACGTCGATCAGAGTCTTACATATATATATATATATATATATATATATGTGCATATAATTGAACCACCTCTCTCAGGCAAAGTTGACCTTGGATGAATTTGGCTATTCTTTGTATGTCCCTTTTGATCGCATAGCTCCTAAAGTATTCAGATCATTGGCATAAAATGTTTTGGTTCGAGCTTGTCTGATGAAGGTCAATAAAAAAGCGCTTTGGACCCATCAAACTTTAAAGTGCTATTTTCATATTTTAGCGCTGGGTCAATATCTCTGCTGGTTGACTGCTAGTCTCCGAGGGTAATATCAGTAGTCCGTGCTTCGGTACTGACATGATTAGATGCAAGCTTTTCTTGAATTCACCGTTTATAAATTTAGAAATTATTAGGAAACTAAGGGTTCATTTCCCTCAGGATTTTTTGACTTATACTGATTTGGCTATTCTTTATATGTCATGTTTGGTGGTATAGCTCCTCACGTATTAGGTATTTATACATCCCTGTCTTCATTTTTTATTTAAGAGCTTCTAGTGAGTGTAAGTCTAGAATAGCGCTTCGAGGGCACTAAATGTTTAAAGTTGTATTCTTATTTTGTTAGTCTACTGATCGAGATTATAAGTGGTTTTTGAGATCTAACTAAACAAGTTTAACTCCACCCAAGTTCATGTGCCTGTCTAAATAATGAATCTTGGCAGGTTAGTTAGTAAGAGCTATGGGTACATCAAAATAGATATAAATTCAGAATTAATATGATCTTGGTGAGAAAAAATGGATCTACACGTTTGCGATGTCAACCTCCTACCTAAGTAAGTTAGCTGTTCGCTTGCACATTCTCGTAGTTTTATTATTACAGTCTTATTTATTTAATCTTTTTTGTTAATTAAAGGTAAGTTTTTTCAATAAAATCATATCAAAGTTAAAACAAGCAATGGCAAAAGCTAATTATTTGCGATAACAAAACGTGTGTATCTAGGAAATTATCTTTGTTACTATCCTCTTAAAATGTCAACGGACTCCCAAAACATACCACCATCTTCAATACATCATCCTGAACATTTCGATAGTGTTGACATTTTGCAAATGCTGCTGAATGGCTGAATATGACTGGGGCAATAGATGTCTCAATAGCGTCTATCATTGTCTGTTTTGACACATGAGACAAATCTACCATCATACCAAGACGATTCATCTCCTTAATGACTATCTGCAAAAGAGGTTTTAAGTAGTATAAATCCATTAATTAAACATTCAATATAGTTTGCACTATAACTGCAAATAAGATTTATGAGGTCAAGTTCGAACTTAACTATTACAAGGTTTCGAGAACTTTTTTTACAGTAACTCCCAACAAAGTATATCGTTTATACAAACTAACACAATAATACTGCTGAAACACAATAAATTATTTCGAGGAAACTTGAATAATACGAAATTATTGCGAGAAGACTTTTATCCCCGATCAGTTCAATAAAGATGCTTTGAACTATTTTGCCTTATCTTTTAACTAATTCCAAATACATACCACCATCATCGATACTTTGTTCTGTATATTTCTAAAGTCTTGAAATGTTGTAACTAAATATAACTATGACAATCAATTGTTTCAGCAGAGTCTATCCTTTTTGATTGCCACACGCAAATGGAGAAATTAATTGTATTGTACAAATTACGGCAGGCTGTGATCTTCTCTCGTGTAATTTCAGGAAATATGCGTAATAGATTACATCTATTATTACCTTTCCAAAATCTGATAGCCCAAGTTTTGATCCTGACTTGTTCTGATCACGCAACCAGTTATCCGCCCTAAAAGATATTAACAATTATAACAATTGGTATTCATACAAACTTCGTGATGCATAATTTGAATTAGATAATGCTGAAAAAGTTCATGGCTTAAAGTGCACGATTGTTGCAATCGGAATGTTCTGTACTAGATGAGTGTCATAATCTGTTTAAATAAATTATTGCAGAACAATGAAAAGTATAACAGTATATCATTATATCATATCTCTAGTAAACGTTATTTTCAGTCATATAATCTACTCACTTTATAATTATTTTTCCTGTATTTTTGTTGTCTGTTATCATGGTTATACCGGTTTTATACAGCTTTACCCTTTCTTTTTCCGATGTCGTTTTATGTACATTTGATCGAGTTTAAGGTGGTACCAAACACCTTGACTAAAATTAATTTAGCTCGTTTAATTTTCATAAAATTTTGTAAAAATATTTACTTTGATCCTTCGACAAAAATTTCAAAATTTCAAAAAACTTGAACCACACACTTTATCGGAAAAAAATCATTGCATAAATAACAGTTTGACAAACACTAATTTTGATCATTGAGAAGCTTAATATTTCCTTAACAATAGAACTTGATTGAAACGTTCAGCTGATTTTTACAGAGTTATCTCCCTGTAGTGTTATGTACCACCTTAAGTGATAACATAATTTATTCTAGTTGAAACCGCCACATTTGTCTGTCTTAATCAGGAATCATGTCAGTGATTTTCATTGGTCATATCTTATGTTTTGTCCGTTAAGGGATTTATACTTAGTGTTGATGAACTATGTATATCTTGTTGGTGGATAGTCTCTGTTAAATTTGATGCAATATTGAGGAAACGAGAGATGATGGTACTTATCTTTATTCATGATCAAGCGTTTACGGTTACATGTTCACAAGAGGTCTCCAGCCTTCAAACTCCCAAATTCTCCCAAATCGAAAACTAACTTGAACTTCTGTTTTTATAATAGAGGTATTCCCGTAACAGTGTGGACAACCGTTGTACTTTTGTTGTTAATACTACTGAATCATTGGGTAACACGAATCACCAAATAACACCGTTATTAGCCAAATAACACTTGTAATCACCGAATAACACTTGAAATTTTAATATTAGCACATATTGGTGACATTTAAACATTGATAATTAAATAATATTGTATTATAAGTGTATTTTATAACTTAAAAATGATTTATAGAAAGCAGGTAAGTTCATAAATTTATTACCTTACAATTCTATCATATTGTTAATTAGATGGTTGTTTACTGACACGTGCCCATTACATAATTAATCATTAATTGATAATGAAATTATATTACGGTATGGACACTCTGCATTAAACAGGCTTGTGACTGTCTTGGTATACCAAGGCTGCATTACCAAAACCAATAATAATAATTAAGAAAAAAAGAACACAAATAAATATTTACAACTATATACAATATATGTACTTCCTAACTATATCTTCTGTAAAAGTGTAATAAGCTTTATTGTTTCACAAAGAATTTTTGATTATTTAAAATAATAAAATTTTTCTTCAGAAAATAAAAATAAAAAAAAAAATTATTAAAACTTATTTGATATGAGTTTTTTTCTGTTTAATAAAATACTTTTTTTTTGCAATAAAATTCTAAATAAATTGTTTTCGCGGACTATGACAGATAAGCCCGTGCCTTGTGCAGGATATCTTAGTAGTTTTAATTTTTTACAATAAATTCTAAATAAATTGTTATCGCGGACTACGATAGATAAGCCCGTGCCTTGTGCAGGATATCTTAGTAGTTTTAATTTTTTACAATAAATTTACCTTTAACTTGTTTGTCGTCGGCTATCGATAACAATCATTTTACGCTCACGCAGTCTGACAGAGGCCTTTCAGTGGGGATTTAGATAAACACGTGTTACACATTTCGATACATAAAATGAAATTGTTGATCAAAACATAAAACACAAAGGTTGTTCCTGTACTAGTTTTTCGAATTGTTTGAGCCAGGCGTTGAGAACCTTTGGCGACCCCACAGTTTAAATGTCTTTAATAAATACGACGTGATAAGTGGGCGTTACAGACGAACGTTTACCTAATTTAACCCTGTCAATGGGAGACTTGAGCGCGCCAAAAAATGGTCTCGTCCACACTGTTATGAAAACGATACTATTCCGGTAGATAATGCAAAAGAAATTGATTTACCAATATAACTGTTAAATTACAACCATCAATTTTGAAAAAGCGGGGTTGCAGGGCTGCCTGTCATGAATTTTGTATATTAGATATTCGTTTGACATATAATGGTCAGATGTTTTTGTTATTGTCCATTATGAGGATTTATTACTTGTACTTGTACAATTTATTATCTGAAATCCTTTATCTTTGTTACATATTGTCTGAATCTTGGTATATTTGTTATCTTGCCCTCGCTATCTACATTCAATTTTAAGCACCTTTATGCTGTCGACAGTTTCGTCCGTACGTGAAACCACAGGTGTTTGGGGCATGGATATTTTTTTTCTTTTCCCCGGCTTTTAGATTAGATTTTCTTTAATTTCTTCAAATTTCCACTTATTTTCACTTAACTGATGTGTTCATACTCTTATTCGTATGATCTTACAATAACAGTGGTTTCTACATAAGAATAAAGGGGCAGCACGTATAAACTACTGCAATTGTAAATCGTATAACGAGGAGTATGAACAAATTAAATAACTGAAAATAATTTGAAATGTTTAAGAAATCTTATTTTACAAATTGAAACACCAAAATAAAGAAAATAGGGGGTTCTATGCTCTATTTGCTAATGTGTAAAACAGTTGACTTCTTGCTTAACGTGTTTCGTAAAGACAAATTAATGACCATGCAAAAATGCTTCTACTATAATTTAAATTGTGAGTAAAATTCATTTTATTTCATTAATCACGTTACAATGATTACCAAATTATTATCTAAGTCAATATCTCATTTTTCGAAACTCTTAATCTTTGACACCTTGAAAGGTTATTTATGCCTTACGCAATTACTGCTCAACGCTCGTCGTATTAATTACCCGGACCATACGTGTATGGTCGGATCATATGAGAATATACGCATATGATCCAAATACTCATATGGTCCGGAAAATACACACTAAGTCTGGTTTATTGTTAAATACAATATGCTGATCTCTGGGGAAAAAAATATTGCAAAACAATCGAAAAGCGCATTAATTGCTGTGCTTCATCTAAGTCATAGTCACAGCGAAACCTTCCGTTTTAAGCGGAATTGTTTGCGATTTGTTGAACACACTACATCAGTGTATTGACAAACATAGTTGTGGGAAATAAATTATATCGGGCAAAAAATAATTTAACAAAATTGCCATAAATTGTCCGAAAAATCTCTTCGGAAATACAGAAACAATACAAACATTAAGACTATCACGGGAGTAGATCAAATTGTATGTTGGATAAATTGGTAGGCATAATGCATGCAAGGGGCAAATAATTAGGGCGGACTTTGAATAATATAACAAATTATATAAAGAAATAAAGAAGCATACAAAAGAGAACCTATCTCAAATATAAATACACCATATAAAAATATAAGCCCATACACCTTCTGCACGAAGAATATATTTGTTTTCGTAGTTTTTTAACCGTATACTTTACTTTTATTCGTATATATCAAACTACAATAATTTTCTTCAAAATAAGCATAATTGACTTGCATCATTTCCAAAATTACCGTTTTTAATATATTTCATCTAAACATATATTTTCAAACTTACACGAAAATACATAATTCGTGTTAATATATGACACTTCACTGCTTATGACCCCAGACCACAAACCTGCCCTGAAAATTATATATAATATACAATATATGTACATTGTCGGAAAATATAAAACCGATTTTTGCGAGCTTAAGAAATTGGATGAAAAGCGAGGCTTGCCGAGCTTTTCTCCTGTTTGGTCGCGAGTACAAATAAATTTTGCGTGTACCTGTTGCAAATGTATTTGTACAATAGTTGGCTGATTGCAGGATAAAAGAAGTGATAGTTCTCAAATATAATTATTCACGGGTAATAACTTTTATCTAACATTTTCATTAACCATTGACCAACTTACTTTGTCATAGTCTCAATATGCCTGCCCTGTATCTTGCTGTTTTATTTTATACTTCTAACTTGAAACTCGACAGCTGTGAGTAAACTTTAAGTTAGTTCATTTCTCTTGCTTGGTTATTGTGTTTATCATTAATAATTTAGTTATTGGTGTTGTTGTTGTTTGCATCAGTATGATTTTTCAATATAGCAAGTATTTTAGAACATATATTTACAATATTTATTTTAGATTTACCATGAAGTGTCACAACTGTGTGTCAAAGTCATGTATCTAACTCCCAATGAATAATACGACCGCAGTATACCAAGTGTATTCCCGATCATGTGACCACCTTCCAACCCAATTAAACTTGCAATCTTATATTCTTATAAGGTATGCATCTAAAATTCCTAAAATAAATTAAAACAATATATTTGAACAAAACAAATATTGCAATTGAATTACATGCATTAGCGATAAATAATTCCTATTGAATAAGACAGTAATTGCACACAACAAAGACATATTTTTATGATCATGGTAACTACCTCAAATTACAAAATTGTTGAATTTCTCCTTAGAATTATTCCACAACTTTTCATCATATACGTTACTAGACCAGTATGAGTTTTTCTATTTGATAACGACCGTAAAGTGACCTTTAATTGTGCATAAAATTATCTTTGTCCTTTGGTCTTTATGGATATTTGTCTCATTGGTAATCATAACAAATCTCCTTATTTTTATATTTCCTGTTTCATTCTATTACTTAATGTCCTTGTTCCAAGCAAGAACACTGTAAGTCACTTGATGACCTTGTTCCAAGCAAGAACACTGTAAGTCACTGGATGTCCTTGTTCCAAGCAAGAACACCGTAGGTCACTGGATATCCTTATTCCAAGCAAGAACACCGTAGGTCACTGGATGTCCTTGTTCCAAGCAAGAACACCGTAGGTCACTGGATGTCCTTGTTCCAAGCAAGAACACCGAAGGTTACTGGATGTCCTTGTTCCAAGCAAGAACACTGTAGGTCACTGGATGTCCTTGTTTCAAGCAAGAACACTGTAGGTCACTGGATGTCCTTGTTCCAAGAATTTCTTTATCATTATTATGACACCTTACTTTCATAAAGCCGTTTTGAATTATAAAATAAACATCTTATTATAAATGGGCCTTTCAGCTTGTTAAAGACTATGTATACCCGTTAAAATTTTGTCAACGTTTTTAGCTAGTGTGATATACACATGCCTTTACTTTTGTCATAAGCATAATTACTATCAAATGAAAACTGTTCAAATTCGATTTTGTTCTATCTAGATTGAACGACCTATTGTATTATCAATATATATATGATACCTTGTGCAGTTGTCACTAGCTCAAACGTATCGTCATATTTGTTGATTATCTTATGGATGACATCAACCTGTTCCATACCAATACGTACTGCATCTCTTCCTGTTGAACTGCAGGATGCAAAAGATGCCCAAAACTTAGAAAAAAAATACTTTAATGTAAACAACATTTATAACGAAGGGTGTCAAAGCAGTTCAATATTTCATTAAAAATATCTATATATGAAAAAAGTCAAATGAAAACAACCATCTCGAAATATTTAATAACTTATTTATTCTACACAAACAGGGATAAATAATACAAGTCTAAAGACAACGATGCTGATAAAAAAAATTTATTACATACAACTTATATGAAATGATATCATATTGACAAATATTTTGACACTACAAATGGCCTTCAGACGTGTCGGGAGGATCTAGTAAAAAGCTAAATAAAAGAACTTAACGCCATTCATCAAGATGAATTAGCAGATACAATAGCTGTTTCTTCACTACATTTGTACATTCATCAGTGTTATGTGTTGGCTGATACATAAGATTTTGACAGTTTTAATGTATCAGTACACACCAACGATTTAAGTATTGATATAGAAATAAGGAGAATGGGTATGATTGCCAATGAGACAACTATGATATCCACCACATACCATTGGATCATGAGGATGCCAAAAACTTTTACTGTATATCACCGTACGGTCTCCAACAATGAGCAAACCCAATACCGTATAGTAAGCTAATAGAAGTCCGGCAGGACAAAATGTCAAACAATCCAAAAGAGATACAATTAACTACCGGCCTTATTTATGCATAACAAGATAAACGAAAATAAATATGGCAGATGGTGACTAACGACACACACTGAATTACAGGCTCCTGATTTGGACAGTCACACAAAACATGTGGTCTGATTTAACATTTCTATAAATGAAATTAAAAGTTTTGCCCGTAAATAAGTTATGATCCATACAAATTTAGTGATCCATTAAAAAACGACCGAATGCTATTTACATTCTAGAATGTTCGATCTATGTCCTCCGATGTTGGAGAGTCAATGCGTCAATGCAACTATCCTACAAACAAGTGATATCACAAAGAAGCCAATTCCCCTAGAAAGTCAACAATTAAGGCAGTCGGACCACAACCTCGATGACTTTATCTGCATGGAAATTCTAGTGATTTAACAAATTCTTCACTGGAATTATGCCCAGCGAAAAGATCTGGAAAGATACTGATGAAAGGAAGTTAAAGTGCTTTACCCAAATGGCATCACCAGAAAAAAGTAGCAGTCTTCACTAGTAGTTTTACCTTTTGACATCGTTTGATGGTTAAATACGCGTCAACAATATTGGACATAGTTTTGATTAGTTTTGAGGAAGTTTAGGATTACAACTATACCTGTATGAGTGAGCTCTTTTAATATACAGTCAAAGAACTTTTGTTCTATTATTACACTTTGAAGAAAAATGATTAACAATGACGAACGTCATCTGTAATGCCGAAATATTTGTTTTCAACTTAATCGTACATATATAATACTTAGTCTATCTTTTATCAGTACAGTAACACAATTTTAATTTGTTTTCCTGTCTATGTAGTATTGTAAAATCTCCACGATCCAATACCTTTTGAATATGTTGGTCTGTTGTTTTTCTTGACAATTTAAAGGGTTTGTGCACGTGTCTATAACAAAGTGTCATCAGACTGGTTTCCAGTTTGCTCAGCCGTTTTTTAATTGTATCTGTGTCATATTAGTTTGACTCCGTTCTAGAGTGCTTAATCGTACGGAATATTTTAGTACAGTGAGCAGGGTGGTCGCTTTTGGGTGACAGGTATTTCTGAGTGTCAGTAAGCTAAGAATACAGGTTTGTGGATACCATGCCATCTGTTTGGGTTTTATCTATCTATCTATTATATACATTAACAAGTGTGAAGGTGTGTGTTACGATTCAACATAGGCGATATTGTCTAACCAATAACGACAATGAAGAAGACCATTTATTGTGCCAAAATATTTTTATTGTAGTACGATTTAGTTTCTTTTCACTGTATGTATCTCTAATTGGAACCGTTGAAAAATCTTTAGACTTGTATATTTATTACTGTTTGTGTAAATGTAGCAGTGTCATTTATAGGCTTGTTCAAGTTGTTCTATAATAACTGCAATCAGCATTGTGTTATGCATATTTTACACGAAAGTTTCATTTTATAAATGGCTTCGATATTTTAATCATACTTATAATCGATACAAATGTTAAGAAGAAAATGATGATTGCTTCTATAAATTATCGTATAAAAATGCAGATATACCTGCGCACCAACCATTCCCTTCTTTAGTCTCGGGATATCAGTTGCCGGTGATATCCGAGGGAAATCAATGTTGTCCATCGGTAGCGTATCAGGCCATTGTACTCTCGTGTCCTCTCGTAGATTAACGTCATACACTTTGTTCTTTGCATATTGTCGGTATTGCCATGGTAAATCATTGTGTCTAGCGAAGAAAGCTTAAATTTATTTCTTTTATATAAATGGTGGCTGGATAAAAAAAAAAATAACGTATGCAAATATTACGTTTAGATTTGATAGAGGAACGATTAAACGATAAACATAATAATTTGATTTTTCTTTATGTTTGTTCACATATTGTTTGTTTTACCAGAAGATATAAAAAGAAATTGTGCTGTCCGGTTTAGTTTTTGAGATACGAGTTGTTTATTTTTTTAGGCTTATTGATAGTCTTCAAATAGACAATACAAAGAATATATAGGTAAAATCATAAATATTGGCAGATATTTTACATTGTTATCATTTTCCTATTTATTAAATCGTTCACAAAATTTGAAAATGGATTCAAAATTATAACCAATCTTTTAGTAGAAACAAATCCTAAGCAAGAGTGATAGTTTCTAAATAAAATTTCTGTAAAAGGTCTGAATTTATTTTCTTTCTTGTTTACTTTTTTTACTGAGTAAGAGAGAACGCTTATCAAAACAACGTGTGAACTTGATGAAAATATCTACAAAGAATGTATTTTTTTATCAAAATTAACCTAAGCTATTTTTGACTCACCCGTCAATTAAGGGATATTGTTGTAGAACATTGTGGACGGTTTGAACAACAGGATCTGACGAACGTCTTGAGGACAATGGAATACCTACAGCTAGGCCTATACAAATAGCTATCAATGAAATTGAAATGACGCCGAATAACATATAATAGTTATGTCGGGTCCATGTTATTTTTCTTGAAGATTTTCCATTAACGCTATATGATTCTGTCATACTTTTGTTAATGAAGTACACTATCTATTTCCAACTAGTATCAGCTACTTATCAGTTAAGCATGAGCTGTGACAGAAAAAAAGTGTAAAGTGTATTAAAGACATAGCCTGTTTAATGTGAAAACTATGGTGGCCGGATGCGGCCATTTCGCGTTTTCTCCTTTCACTTTCACGCGAAATCGAGAAATCGAAAAATCGGAAAATCGAGAAATCGAGAAATAGAGGAATCGGATAATCGAGAAATAGAGAAATAGAGAAATCGGGAAATCGGGAATTCGAGAAATCGAGAAAGCGAGAAATCAAGAAAGCAAAAACGAGAAAACGCGAAGGCGAAAACGCGAAAACGGGAAATAGATTTCTCGATTTCGCGTTTTCGCTTTCTCGATTTCCCGATTTCCCGATTTCTTGATTTCGCTTTCTCGACTTCCCGATTTCCAGATATCTCAATTTCCCGATTTCTCGATTTTGCTTTTCTCGATTTCTCGATTTCGCGTTTGCAAATTGAAAGGAGAAAGCGCGAAAACGCGAAAAGGCGAAATGGCCGCATCCGGCCACCATAGAAAACAATTATCGTTTATTTCAATTGAAGAGATAAACCTCATTTCCACGACGTCATTTTTAAAAACGCTAAGTACAATAGTTATCAATAGGAGTGAATTTCAAGAAAAGTTTCTACAACCAACACAATTCATTACTCTAAGAATAGGGAATGTGTCTTTTATTTGAAAATCAATGTTCATTGGCTAATTCTTCAAATAATTCTTGACAAAATAATCCTCAACATAGTTGGTGCCTGAAAGGGGGCATGCCATGGAATATGATGCAATATCCTCTAACTTCACGTCCCTCTATGTAGATATGTCCTCTTACCAACTAATTCTAAAACTTGGAATAAAGCATTTCACAGTTACAAATAGGATACAGTCTGGTCCGATCCACACGTTTTTCGGGATATTGAAATATATTGAGGTCAATTTAAAACTAAATTTTACGACAAATATATTTCAATTTATTGAATTTTGTCTTCAACAATCACCACGATCACCCAAAACTATTATCAGTGCATCTTTATAGCGTGTTAATTTATCTTGCACATTTTACAAATGTACGTTAACGATCATGCAAGCAGAAAATGGAGTTGTCAATTGTTTGGACTACAAAAGGAAGAAATAAGTAGCCTAATTATGATAGTCTTTCAAAAAACTGAGGACAAATAGTTCTGCTTATGTTCTTCAAGTTTTGAACGAAATATTCTGAGGTACATTGAAAATCTGAGTGGTTAGAATGTATTGTCATTCAACATTCTCGAACTGCCAATCAGCATTATGCTTATTTGGACTATTTACACATAGGAAGTTCTGCTTTATCGAAACATTTTACGGGTAATTTTACAGCATTCTGTTTCTTGTTAGAGTGTGACTAAAATGGAAAATAAAGAATAAAGTGTATTTATTGATCACAAAAACCCTGCAAACCAAAACAAACGAACAAGCTTTAATGTGCATGTCCTCATCATTTCAAAGTCACAGTGAAACGTTCAACGCAGAACAAAAGTTCACACCTCACAGTAAGTTAAAGTAATAACTAAAATATTAAAAAAAAGACATCACGCCCCTAGAACTTTATACGGCATCCATACAGACTCTGTCAATGTAAGGGAAAAGAAAGGAAGCGGTGTATAAGATATCAACACAAAATTGCATCAAACAAAGGAACTGCGCTTTTATTGCTGTTCTTCATCTCAAAGTCACAGTGGGGCCTCCAACACAGATCAAAATCGAACTGGTTTTAAGCAGAACTCAGATTGCAAATGGCTTAAATATACAATGCGTAGTATGGTATGATTGCCAATGAGATAACTATTCAACAGAGTCCAAATGAAGTTGATTTAAGATAATATAGGTCAATGTACGGCATTCGACAGTGAGCAAAACACATACCGTATAGTCAGCTTTAAAAGACCCCGACATGACAACATATGAAACTGATTTAATCCAGAGGAATTTGTAAAAAAAAAATAATGTATAAAAACTGAATTAACCAGAAAATATGTAAAAATAGAACCTGCACAGTACAGAAATCTATAAAAGATCCCGTCATGACAAAATGTAAAACAATTCAGAAAGAAAACAATGACCTGATATTTGCTACAAACAATGAACAAAAACGTTTATGAGTTGATAACCAGTAAATAAAATACACTTTTGATATCAAGTATTTTCGTCAATTTAATCCCGAATAGCACCAAATCATAAATTTGTATTTTAATCAACTATTATAAATTTTGCTTTGTTTTCAGAGAGTTAGTGCTTAAGGAAATATGAGAGAGCGAGTCAAAATGACTATAAACAAGAAGGTAGTGCTTGATTATTTCAATACAAAAATGTTTTTTCTCTAAAATCCCTGAATTATACCAGAATCCGTAAAAAAGAATCTTCATAAATTAACTAAGCTAGTTAGAAATTTTACACATCTCATGATATTTCATTTATTATTACAAAATCCCTCATCGTACAAGCACTGCCCAATCTATATCTCACCTATCATTCAAAATGTCAGACATGTATAAAGCTAAATGTTCTCATTGAAACCTGGTCGAGTGCGCTCAACAATTGATAGACGAAAACTTCAAACCATTGGATTTTGGCGGTAAGAACCAATCCATAAGATCATTTACCTTCTGCATACAAATATGGATTCTCTAAATCGCCGACAGTGACATTCGTTGCAACTGATAAAGAACGATTTGCTTTAAAGCAAAAAAGTTATCAATGTAACCGATATGTAGAATTATGGAATTGAATCATAATGTAAAAAATAAGCAATGGTTTATTATATGGCCACTTAAATTGCAAAACTAGAAAGATTCCTCAATCCTTTCAAAAATTGTGAATTTTATTACTGAATTAATGGAATAATATACTCCTGAGACCTTGGTACAAACTGTCATTTTACACATAATTTACTCCTGAGACCTTGGTACAAACTGTCATTTTACACATAATTTACTCCTGAGACCTTGGTACAAACTGTCATTTTACACATAATTTACTCCTGAGACCTTGGTACACACTGTCATTTTACACATAATTTTTTTTCGGACGTACACAACTTATCAAGTGTTATTTTCGTTTTATACTATATGACATATTCACAACTTTTTTTTTTTATTTAAACAAAGCAAATATTTTTTAAATCATTGTAATTTGCAAATGACCATTTATTTACACATAATATAAATTATTATTTTTGTTCACAAAAATTTAATAACTCCCCCAAGTAATGAAAAAATCAGAAATTCTATTTTAAGCGGACAAAGATATTTATTTTAATACATACCTTTAATTCACTAACCACCAACTGACCTCATCCTAGTGGGTATTACACTAAATAATATTTCTTTAATAAGAACATTATTCATCCATGACCCTGTTAGCCAAATTGTAACAGTGACAACCTTATATAGATATATATATATATCTTTTCCATGAATTTTATCGGAATGTACCTTAATTAAAACAAACATTTTGACTTAAAAAATAAAAGATTCAAAATTGTAATGAAAACTATAAAGACGTGGAAATGAAAGAATATAATACATGTAGTTGGAACTAGCGAAAAAGTGATTAAACCTAAAACTACAAAAACAACAAAAAGAATGAATTAATACATTATTAGAATTGGAAATGCAAGATAAATATAACTTGAAGAAATAAAATCTGCAGCATTTAATAGTTTTGACTCATTCCTCAGTACTAAACAAAGGTGTCATTTATTACATGTATTTGTAATTTTTATAATAGTTGGTAAAGCCAGGGAAATCCGAGGTAATCAAATGGATACGTATAGAAACTTTATTTTTTGTAGTATTCCTGAAAACTATTACATTGTGGATTATATAAATGTTTTATTTTTATTTCACAATGGCTTAAACAAACTGATGACTTTCAAGAATTTGTATTCAATTAACACATAGAGGCAAGATTATTTATTTGTATGCACATACTATTGCAGGAAATGCTTGTTTGTTTGGTTTGTTTAATTCAAAATTTTTAAATTACACTATCAGGTTGCATCTTTTGTTATAGGTGTTGTTGATAGATCGTACATTTGTAACAGTTTTCAGATGGTTGTCCTTACTATCTTACAAGATATGTAACTATCCATTATATTTCAAGGCCTAAGATGGTACCTAGCTATAGTCTCCGCATCTGCGACTCTTTTCACAAAAAAATCTTAAGAGTAGAAATACACACATTTCAGTAAAACTTACGATCAATTTAAATCGTAAGATGTTTTTTAAATAGAGTCGTTGAGTTCCATGATTGACAGGTGTACAGTGATCGACATCTACATTTGTAGCAAAGAATCCTGCTAAAACCGGAGTAAGTGTTGAACTTGCAGTAAAATGTAAATGTTTTGCTCATGTTGAAGGCCTCACTGTGAACAGAAATAAGTTCTGTAACTTTACTTTTGTTTATTTTTAATGCATGTGCGTGTAGTGGTTTTGTGTCATGAAAAAAGTAAAATAACAAAAATACCGAACTCCAAGGGAAATTTATTGATACATTATATTATTTCTTTTCCTTTTGATAGTTTATGTGTTCATGTTTTTGATTGATTATCTAGGGATTCACTGAAGCATGACTGGAGCGGGCCCCCTCTATGGCAGTGGCAGTCAGTGCCCCCCCTCTTATGAAAATTTCTAGTTCCGCCACTTGAGTTCCAGCGTTCATGAAGGAGATTATTCCAGAAACATTCGCAAAAAAAAACAAATATCATACTTAAATTTAACCTACAAAAGTATAAATGCACGTACAGTGCGGCAAATTTGTTACTATTTAATTTCATTAACGTGATACTTCAGTTCACTGAAATGTCGATATTCACCAATCAATACTACTTATTTTCATATATAAACGTCATATGTGTGGAAAGACAGGATGGTACTACTCAAAAATTGGAAGTGAATAATATCAAACTGAAATCATCAAGTTTGTAAATAGGTCATCAGCATCAATATAAAGAAAACTCATTGAAAGGTCATCATCATGATGATATGAAAGTGAAATAAAAGGAGTGTTCTTCAGTATCTTTAACATGTACAAGCAAGATTTGTTTAAATTTTATTTCATATTACCACATAAGCAAGTCGATAAACAAAGGGACACTATCTGCAAGTACATGTGATTAGAATACGTGTGGTTTGACCAAGACTGGATTTTTCTCTTCGATTAAAATAAAGACTATTTAGTAGAAAGATGCAGATGATCTAAAGTTTGTAATGTACATTTTGTTGAAGATTTTGAAATTCGTGCAATATTTGGGTGCTTTTTAATGAATATAGAGTGGGTGGCGCATATTCGCCTTGGACACATTTTCGCCGTTTTGCTATTTTTTCTGTAAAATGTGTGTGCCTTTACTCAATACTTGCCTAAATAGATGGTAAAGGCTGTTTGCAATGTTACAATTGTTGATATTCCTCTTTACCCCATTTCCAAGGTTATTCGCACATATTGAGAAAATACGCAGGTGTTTTTAAATGATTTTGGCAATTATGTAAGATTTATATGGCAATCATGCGCAGTCTTAAAGTAAATATTTGTGAGAAAAATCGTATAGGAATGATCTCTCAAGCTAATTCATGTAATTGCAAACATTCGTTTTTATAATATACGAAGATAATGAGGATGGTCATATCATACATTGCGGCGAAAATGTGTCCCCCATGGTACACGAACAACTTGATTTCCTCTTGAGTTTGCGTTCGTTTTTAGAACAATTAAACAATGTTTTGAAGATAATTTCTTTATCAAACATTTTTTTGATATAGTTAAATTTCTGAAACCTTTATAAAAAGTTCCAAATATTCGAATGTAGGTCGGATGTAAGTGGAAATGAGCGAATTATGCGGCGAATATAGGTCTCTCACTCTATATCAGCAAATCTTTTGAATTATTTCCAATCCATGTCTTATGACACAGCTTGTAGAGTACCTCTCTTCATGAAAGTTCTGAAGGCATTCTTTGAATGTAGTGAGAATACTTGTAAGAATCTTTGAAAGATAAAGGGGACATGCATATGAAGTGTCTATGTTTCATACTGTAAACCGATACTTTATACTCGTGGTATTTCAAGTTAGAAGGAAAATATCTTTATATTTTACTATTCAAGAGAAAAAAAGTACACATTTATTATAATACAAGTTCCACCTCAGTCAACAAGGGTAATATTCAGTAAACAAATGTATACACACGTCCTGCAGTATATAACAAGTGACAAATTCAGCTCCTATATGAATGACAAAATTAATTACAATGGACAGAACAATATACAATATTATTAATTGACATGTAGTCTAAGTTATTAATAAGCCGACAATAATTATTAAGTGAATCTCGCTTAGTTTTTAATAGATAGTATTGTACTAGAATATAACTTTTTTTGTAGATATATATCTATATATACAAAATTCAGATTTCTTTTCATTAACATTAACTTATACAAATTCGGTTGACATATATACAGAATTGAAAGTTTTAATTTAATCTTTTAAAACATCGTCATTTTGATTTTTCAATATATTGCAGTTTATAAAATATACCATAAGCGTCATATCTCAAATTTATTGAGAACTTAGATATAATATATATATATATATATACATATCTATCATGTTTTGCTTTAAAAGGATGTATAACACATGCGGTTTGGAACAGCTTCATCTTCTGGTAAAATGTCCTCGTATGGTTGAAATGTCTTTTGTTTCTCTTTAACCTAAATGAGAAATATGTACAAGTCAGTACTGTTTTGCGTTTATAGAGATACAGGAAAATTTATTGTCAGAAATATGTTACAAAAATCAGGTGTGGTCACAAGCCAAGTTGAAACATTTCATAATTGCCAAAAAGTAACAATTCTCTGTTTGACATTACCAAAAGATCGGTTTCTTGGAATTACTGCCTGTATGAATTGCGATAAACTTAACATCACAAAAGATGGACAGCAACCAAACTTCATTAGAAAATGTAAGACGCCTAGAGGTAAGCATATTTTTAACTGACCTGTTTAATCGAAACTTGCACACGCAGGCCAGACGTCGGACATTTAGAATAAAGCCATTTTTGTTCAATTTCTAGTTCAAATGGCGCAACATTGACAAAATTTGCTCAATTATGAAGACGCTGCCTTTTTATTTGAGTTTTGAATTGTTGTCATTAAAAAAAATGTACTTGATATTGTTTTCGTACCTGATGTTAATAATGCTGTGGGTCACATATTGTTAATAACAAAATTTTACTTGTTGTCAGAAATGTAGCTTCTTTACCCTAATATTTACTTTTTAATAAATCTATCAAAATAGTTCAAGACCAATTGAAAATTGCACATGCTATTTCCATGATCGTTAGTCTGAAACTGTGCTTAGACTTGATCTAAACTTTTCTGAAATAGATGATATCATAATGTTTTCTTTAAGATGCAATAGAAACTAGAGGCTCTAAAGAGCATGTGTCGCTCACCTAGGTCTATGTGCATAATCAACAATGGACTCTCTCCAACATTTTAAACAAAAATAGAAATCATGACAAAAATTTCTGTTTTGTTGATCTTGAATAGCTGATCATTTTGTCTGTTTAGTTTAAATACAGTAAAAATATCGGCAAAAATTTACTTTTTTGTGGATCTTGCCTTGCTGATATATTTTTGTTTTTTAAAGTTCCTACTTATCTATTATAAATTTTATTAAATAAGGCAAAACGCAAAATAAATGGTAACAATCGGCATTTAAGGGCAATAACTTCATTAAGGAGTCTTCAGAAAATTTCCTCCACTTGTTTTAAATGAAGATCTTGTCTTGCTGATCATTTTTGCTGATTAAAGTTTCTATCTATCTATCATAATTTTTAAGATATAAGGCAAAAACGTAAAAAATTGGTAAAAACCGTCATCAAAGGGCAATAACTCTAATTAGGAGTCGAATGACGATTACGACCATGCATAATTATTCGTAGATCTTGTCTTGCTGATCATTTTTGCAACTTTTATCTTTCTATTATAGTTTTCAAGATAAACATTTAAGGGCAATAACTTCTATAAGACGTCGCCTGACAGTTTTGACGTCAACGAACAATTGGTAGAGTTCAACATTCTGAACATTTTTGTCCTGTCAGAATTTCTCTATTAGTAACGGTTATAAAAATAATACACAAAACTTGCATTTTACCTCTATGTTCTATTTTTAGCTATGTCGGCCATCTTGGTTGGGAAGCGGGTCATCGGACATATTTTTAAAACTAGGTACCCCAATGATGATTGTGGCCAAGTTTGGTTAAATTTTGTCCAGTAGTTTCAGAGGAGAAGATTTTTGTAAAAGTTATCGAACGACGACGTACGACGGACGCCAAGTGATGAGAAAAGCCTAAAAATAAAATAGATTTGAATTTGGAAATTGGTAGGTTATACTTTTTGATTTGATTTTTACAGATATCTGTTTGCTAGTTCTGCTAACGCGTTACCAGTAAACAGATATTCATGACCCATTATACCCGCAAAAGTAGATAACTGAGAGGAGACAAATTATTTTTACACTTATCATAGTCAAACAATTTGAAACATCTTCCTTATTTAATTACTTTTTTTACATGTAATTTCAATAAGTGGGGCAATCGGAAAACACCGTTTTCACAGTTTTAATTGTAGATTGCATGATGTGAAAAGATAATATCTGTCTTAAAGAACCAAACAATAGTATTACGTCAATTCTAATATCCTCGTCAATCTTGCTTTTATGTTAAAGCTATTGACTAAAAAACACTCCATTGTATTGCATTTCAACTTAAAAAAAAATTATAGTTTACTTCCAAGCAACAAATTCGACAAATACTGATAAGATAACTCTAAATAGCTCTTTACTATACTTCTATACTGGAACTTAAATTATTTAATGCATGAAGATCTTATTGTCAACAAATTAGCATACTAGAACTTCTCCAATGAATACTTTCGGATTCCCAAAATTTCTTTTGGGCACGATTGGTGAAAATCTTATTTTTGAAATGCTTACATACTGCATCATCCTAAATGTGGTATCATTTAAGTTTATACTGTTATATCAGGCTGTGAAAATACATTTCACGATAAACAAAATATGTAGATGTGACATGGTTGCCATTGAGAAAACTATACACCATTGACCAATAGACGAGGATACAAACCACTATAGATGACAGTTCGACAACAACAAGCAAAGCTCGTATAGCTTGCTATAAAAGGCCCCGACATGACAAAATGTGAAACAATTCAATTGAGAAAACCAACGGCCAGATTTATTCTAAAACTAAAAACGAAAGAAAAGAAAAAAACAGGCAAACAGCGACCATTACTAATTACTGGCTCCTGAATAAGGACAGGCACATACAAAATGTGGCAGGGTGAAGCAAGTATAAATATGTGAGCTAGTTCAATTATGTTTCAAGGCAACGCGTCTTAACCTTATTAACAGGTACCTTTTCAACATCTTTAAACACTCGTATAAAGTTTTCTCCTGCCAACTTCTTAAGATCTTCGGTAGACCATCCATCTGCTCTGAGTTTTCCAAACAAATCCGGATACTTTGATACATCTTCTAAACCAACCGGCAAGCTGTAAATTAAAAAAAAAGTCCCACTCTGTTTCATCTTAATATATATTATTTTCAAGTTTCTATGCATTGCGTTGTAAAAAACGCAATGCATAGAAACTTCCATGAGAGTCTTAAAGTTTATTACTTTTTTACATTAGTAAATAATTAGAGGATAACATAACATGTTTAAAATACTTGTTCAATTTTAATATAAACACTATGAAAACGAAACAAAAATGCAAAATATAAACATCAAAATGAATTCCGCGGACTTCTGTTACTAATTACAAATGTAACATATAACTTTGCTGAGACAAGTGTATCAGCGTAGTACAGATATACATGTACAATTATTGTTAACAGCGAGTACAATATTTCATTTAGATAAAATAAAAAAAATCTTACGTTGGAACTCCATCGTAATCTGCACCAATACCGACATAGTCTACACCAATAAAGTCTTTGATGTAATTAATATGATCTGTGTTAAGATAAATAAATAATTGTACTAAAAATTCCTACATTATTGCATATATATCTTTATTCTCATAAACCAAAGTACAATGGTAAAGAGACACATGCAAATAAATTAAAATACATAATATAAAATGTAAGTACAAATGTAAAGCAGAGACATAAAGTGGTTACCCAGGAAATTCTAGGCATTTTAATTTAATAATTATTCGTATCAATTTGCACAGTTTGTTTAATTCAGACGGGTTGTTGCTATTCATAAGATCTTGAAATTTTAAAATATTTGGTCTGTTTACAAAATGATGCTTTAACAGTGTTTGTCTACATTCGTCTATTGCCGAACATTCTGACATATTGACAATACAATACTTCCATGATTAATGGGATCAATACATTATACATGAAACTAATTCTTACTTATTCATCTGATTAATGTAAGTGCAATGCAGAGTTGAAACTGATGAAGATTTCACTACATGATTACTACATAATAAAACATAACGATTGCCTCAACTGATTCATAATGATAAAAAAAGTCATAACACATCATTCTATAAATTCTCTGAACTACTTAGTTTGGCATTACAAAACGTATAAAACTTAATGTGTTAATAGCTTTATATTCCAAAATATTGTTTCTCTTTTTCTTTTTGGGAAACAATTATTGATAATCTTTGGCAAAGACAAAGTATTTATGTTTTTTTCTTTATCATTCTATTACGGAATAAACCCCATTTTCTTCAAACTCAATTAATTTTGTATATATAAGAAAGAAGATGTGGTATGATTGCCAATGAGACAACTCTCCACAAGAGACCAAATAACACAGAGATTAACAACTATAGGTCACCGTACGGCCTTCAACAATGAGCAAAGCCCATACCGCACAGTCAGCTATAAAAGGCCCCGAAATGACAATGTAAAACAATTCAAACGAGAAAACTAACGGCCTAATTTATGTACAAAAAATGAACGAATAACAAATATGTAACACATAAACAAACGACAACCACTGAATTGCAGGCTCCTGACTTGGGACAGGCACATACATACAGAATGTGGCGGGGTTAAACATGTTAGCGGGATCCCAACCCTCCCCCTAACCTGGGACAGTGGTGTCACAGTACAACATAAGAACGAACTATGAAAATCAGTTGAAAGAGGCTTAACTCATCAGATGGATAAAAATACAAATACTACAAATACAAGTGGACGTGAAGTATGTATAATTTAAAAGTTTAGATAAGATTGAACTTAAACACATGTTTAGTATGTATAATTACCAATCACGTGCTGCATGGTTGATTCTGTAGCATTTACTGGAAGACATCCTTTACTGATATATCCGTCGTAGAAATTTACCATTACCAAACCAGTATTGTTTTTCTGTTAAATAATTGCATATATGTATTTGTAACTAGGTATCTTCCTTTCATTTTGTTTTTTCAGCTGCATCATGGGTGCTAATTTAAAACAATTTAGTTTTCAATGATTCAATCCAATAGAAACTGCTGATCTGCAAGGTATTCCGTCACCGCACCAATACAGTTTGTACTATTTAACAACACTAGATAAGGTCAAAACATCGAAACACATAACTCAACCCAAGAAGTTACCCCTTATATAGCCGAGATGTGTAGAGCGCGGGACACAGTGCAGGCAGATTTGAACAATGTCACAGAAGAAGAACGAAAAACGAAATAATTTACTACTGCCAATTTACAGATCTAACAGTGTTTGACTAAGTGTTAAGATGAAGTATGTGTAAATTGCCTGAACGTCCCTAAAAATAAAAATCGTAGACTAACTTTATATTTTAGCTTCAATTCAGATAAGATTGAAGTTTAACACTGAAGCGTAGTTTATAGTATACAAATAAGCGTAACCGGTATTAATAAACTTATATTAATAAATACGTACCACCATCTCTAGAACATCGTTCTGTACATTTCGGTAGTGCTCGCATTTTTCAAAAGCTGACGAATGACTGAAGATAACCGGTGCAGCTGATATTTTAATGGCGTCAATCATCGTCTGTTTAGCTACATGAGCCAGGTCTATTATCATGCCGAGGCGGTTCATCTCTTTGACAACTATCTACAAATTGATATCATTAGATGTATTTTATTAGCATTCAAAAACACCATGAAACCGTACCTTAGATACACATTTCAATAACGCAATATTTACATATAGACATTCATCCAAATAAACATTAAATAATATTTTATCACATGTTTCCCATGCATTGTTTTTTTTATCATTTTGAATGATTGACAACAACTGAATTCGAAGCTAAAATTGTATGATATTATTTGTGTTTGTACATTACACGTGTTTTTTTATAATCTTCATGTGTACGATCAAGACCAACAAATATGTTTGTCGTGAAGTAAGGTGGAATGGAACATGTTTCATTTTGCTGTTGTGCGACATACGGAAACCATTCCGTGATGTTTCAAAACATAAACACATAGATATCATTGGACATGCAAAAAAAAAACAAAAAAAAACAAAAATCAGCTGTATTTATTTTGTTATATTATGTTGTGTCTTATTATTTTTTTCATAAATTCTTTGTAGTTACTTTTCTAAATTAACACCCGTTTATATTTACAAAAGTAACAGTTTAATGTATTAATAATGTTACCTCTCCAAATGCCGATAAACCGCGTCGTGAACCGGTCGTGTTTAAATCTTGTTTCCAGTTATCTGCCCTTTAAAACACAAATACTTTAACGTATTATTGATCTTAAAATGACAAAGTTTTCAACATTCAAAACAAAAATTGAGTGTAAAAAGAAATAGTAATTGAATAAATGTCTAAATTTACATGTAAAAATAATCGTTTTGTTAAAAAAAAGATATTCGAAAGTTTCCATTTATTATACATTTCAGAATTAAAACCCAAAATTCAAAACATATTTACTGAATACATGTAGCTATATATATCACAAGATTTTTATTTGTTATAAGTATGGAGGAGCAGAAACTCCTGAACTTTTCGGACCACCTTTGAAGTCAGATTACCTCCGACTTTTTTTTTGGTAGGTTTTGTAATGCATTTTTTTACTTTCTTTGTAGTTTTTGCTGACTTGATTTTGTTTTCGTTTATTGCCATTTCGCTCTTGGAGAATTTAGTTTTGAAATAGAGCTTTGAGCTAGCTTTCAGTAGCTTCGAGTACTGTTAAACTTTTTGTCTTTTGTCTTTTTTTTTTATTTGTTTTGTGCTTACATGTATATGTAGTACCCATCTTATGGGACAAGCTTTTCCAACTGATTGTTATGTTGTGTTCAAGGTTAGATATAGGGTTGATCACTAACTAACATGATTACATATATGGTATAAGCCCGCAACAATCTTAATGCCCCATGTCAGGAAACTATAATCCCGTGGTTGTTTTGTTGGTTGCTACCTGTCATAGTTTGTTATTGTAATATAAATCAGACGTTTATATATCCCATTTCACATTTTCATCCCGGATTGTTTTATAGCTTACTTTACGATTAGGTTTTGGTCATTGTTCACATTTACTCCTAGCTCCTTTGTTTTTTTATGGATAGTTGTCTCAGTGAGAATCATGATACGTCTCCTCATTTTTATGTGGTATTTGCGTTATTTAAAAAAATACATTTCGATTTGAAGCTTTCAGTTTATAGTTTATGTTATGAGATACATAACAATACACTATATGTCTCTGATTTTATTATATAAAAAGTTGGTATTACCCAGAGAAAATTGACCGTAGAAGGTGTTGGGATGTTCTTAAAGTTAAAGATCATTCTAATTGAATGGACATAAACATTACCATGAAGTGTCACAGCTGTGAGTTAATGTCATATATCTAACCCCTAATGAATAAAATGACCGCAAAACTCCCAATGTATTACTAATCATGTGACCACCTTCTAAACCAATCAGACTCGCAATTCTGTTCCTTGAGAGATATGCATCAAGTATACCTGAACGAGAACAAAGTATAATTATCAATCATTGTTTTAATTTTCAAAATGCAATAAAATTGGATAAAAGAATTAGGTTATTTTATTTTACATCTTACAACAAAAACAAAAAAATGTGTCGTAATCATAGAACAAAAAATGAATAAGAATGATCTCAACAACACATATGAATCAATGAACATGCGACACATACAATGTATACTCAAAACTTTTTTATATGGTATGATTTATAGTTTCGTAAAATAATTGCTTTGCTACTGGCATGCTTTACGTAATATATTTTCATTGTAAAATTTTCTATTCACGTCTTAAAGGTATAATTATTATAGATATAGAACAATAATCAACCCCCTCGAGTAAAGTATTATACCGTAAACGCCAAAGGTTCTATTTAGCTTTGGTTCTCCAAAACATATCATACCGTTAGCTTTCGGTAAATTGAAACAATGGGAAAAGCCTCGAATAATTAAGTGTGACTAGACTACGGATTACATTGTTATCGTCTATCCTTGTCAGGATCTTTTCGTATTGATTGTGCTAACGAAATACATGACCAAAAGTTACCTTTTGCATTTGATTGCATCTATTTAACGTTAAAATATTCAGTACGCCTTCGGAATTATAACTATATATATACAATATTGTCAAACTTGTCAAATAACGGCCGGGTACCAGTCTACAGTACAATCACTTTGAGATCATCGTAATTGCATGGCAAATATCCAGAGGTATCATTTCCTAATATTTTTTTGTAATGGAGTCGTATACGTTGCATGTAAACTTCCTTCCAAGTAGATTTTTATTACAGATATTGTATCAGACTTAGTCATTAAGTTACCTTGTGCAGTTGTCACTAGTTCAAAGGTGTCATCATACTTATTCACAAATTTATGAATCACATCAACTTGGTCCATACCAATACGTATTGCATCCTTTCCAGTTGCAGAACATGGACCGAATGCTGCCCAAAACTAATAAATCAGAAAAAGATAAATTGAAGTAAATTACTTTTTTCATATTTTGCATTACATGATACCAAAAACTTGATTTGCTTTATAGGACGAGGTCATGAATCCCTTCTTGCTTTATAGGACGGGTTTGGAAAAGAGGATGTATATTATGTACATCAAACAATCACAGAGTTGTAACGTGTATCTATATATGTCGTATACTTTCACGAAGGTGGTACAAAATATGTGGTGGTAATTTTTGACAACTAAGAGTTAAAAGACAACCGTGTATATACATAAGTTTTTATTATTATGATAGATATCATATACCGATTAAAAGATTTTACACATATATTTACAAACAGTGGGAAGACCCAAAAGTAGTTTTGACAATTTTTTTCTACTGGCTAACGACATGAGAGGGAGTTGTACTTGTCTAGATCTACCAAACGAGATTATTAACAATAGTAAATGTTAATCGCAAGGTTAACCCTTCAAATCGATAGACTACCGGAAAACAAATGGATCCTCTTTTGAACAGATGGATTTGGAGATGGTGATATTTTCATAATTATTACAAAAATCGTATATGGAACCGTTTATGAAACAAATTTAATTCTTTCTTCCTATTTAATTAATAAGTAGACCTTCCTTATTCACATTTGAAATCATTTACCTGAGCGCCAACCATGCCTTGCTTTAATCTTGGAATGTCAGTTTGTGGTGGTAATCTAGGAAAATCATAACTAGTCATATTTGTTGTGTTTGTCCATTGTATTCTAGTGTCTTCTCTTAGGTTCACTTCGTAGACTTTGTTTTTAACATATTGTCGATATTGCCATGGTAAATCATTGTGACTAAAATTGATATATAAAAGATATACATGTACACAAAGAGACAGTTCATATAGCTGCAATAGTATTCGCACAACTTAAAATCTGAAATAATTTGTCGTATAAAAAAAACTTATGTTGAATTTGTTGAATTTATGTTGAACGTTTAGACTTCACGTACTTTATAAATTATGTTTGACTTTTTACAGCCTTGCTCTCTGTTTGTACAATCCGATATTTTTCGCAATTCCAGTTATCCTTTTATTTAAGATTTTAATGTTTATTAGTACGGTAAGCTTTCTTCAATATCAATTTATAATTTAAAAATGAGACATATTGCATATTTTTAATACTTACGAATCAATACTTACAAGATGAATTAAAATACTTCATATCATAATTTATACGTACCCATCAATTAAAGGATACTGTTTTAGTACATTTTGAGCTTCTTGTACATTCTGATCAGGAGAATCACGCTTTGCTAAAGGTATCCCAATGGCTAATCCAATCATAATTCCTATTAATGCAGATATCAGAAACCCATAAAAACAAACATTCTGTCGCGATTTCTTTTTTTTAGATACAAGTGCCCGTACAGAATTTGTACTGTTGTTTTCTTCGCTCAAGTTGTGGAATTCCATTATTCAAAGTCGTCTGTATAAGAAAATGAATTTATAAGCAATAATTCAATTAATTGAAGAAAAAGGATAACTAAGGCAATCCACGGAGAAAACCCAACTACTAACCTCAAGCAGAACGACACAATATAAAGTCGATTAGTTCTAATTGCTTCTTCTCCTTCCGAAATTTTTTCTAATATTTATACATGTATGTAAGACTGCAGATCAAATTTTGCTATAATCCTGCAAAAAAAAAACTAAAGTTACCTACCGTAATGCTTCTGTAAGGTACTCTGTGGATATGTCATAAAGAACTCTTAAATTAAACTTTAGAGGTCAATATCAAACATAATATGTTAAAATACTTGTAAAGTAAAGTATGAAAAATGTATCTACTTAGTGTTTTCGTAAACATACAGCCGACGTGTGTATATTCCTTACTAACCTAACCTTATTATATATATAATCTTAATTAATTGCCTAATATTACATAATAAGCAAGAGACAAACAAAACACCAAAGTACATAAAAGAAAAAGGGATAAACAAAAACTAATTGTTAAAGCAATATGACAATAGAAAATAAAAATAAAGTACATAATGATAAATTTAATCAAATCACAAGTGTTTAAAGCTATACTTATATTTATTTAATAGATAAAGCCCTACATCACAAGTAAGTGATATCCGCCGACTAGTATCAACCACCAATCTAATTAAAATATAGATCTGTATCAACCACTTACTGAACAAATATCATCAGACTTAGATTATGTCTTGCAGTCACTATAAGAAGGTTGTATCATTTTTCAGTTATTAACGTCAAGTTTCGGCTCACCATTTGTACATGTATTAACAAATTTTGTCAGTTACTGTTATACAGAAGCGGATCCAGGGGTGTCACCGGTCGCACGTGTCATCCCCCTCAGGTTGGCAAAAATGGTGCGCCGTGTAGAGTATAATCCAAATTTTGATTAATTTATCAATTAGTCTATCACTTCATTATGATAAAATTGTCATTCTGTATGCAATACAATAGATTTATCTAAAGCCTAAATGACAAGTTTAATGAACAAGTAATAATTATCTATGATCGGTAATTACTAATTCTGTCCATTGATGTAGATGTGTGAAAATGAAGATAACATTTTCAATATAAGCACGGGTTTTCTTTCTTCAATTAGTAGATATAAGAAGATGTGGTATGAGTGCCAATGAGCCAACTCTCCATCCAAGTCAAAATTTATAAAAGTAAACCATTATAGGTCACAGTACGGTCTTCAACACGGAGCCTTGGCTCACACCGAACAGTAAGCTATAAAGGGCCCCAAAAATTACTAGTGTAAAACCATTCAAACGGGAAAACCAACGGTCTAATCTGTATAAAAAACGAGAAACGAGAAACACTTATGAACCACATCAACAAACGACAACTACTGAACATCAGATTCCTGACTTAGGACAAGTGCGAACAAATGCAGCGGGTTTAAACGTTTTAATGGTACCAAACCTTCACCCTTTTTTCGGAAACAATAGTGTAACATCACAACATAGAAAGACACACTATAAAATATCAACTGAAATAGCTTAACTCAATCAAAGGACATATTAAGTTTATTTAAATCAAAATAGAATAGTCAATGCATTATATTTGATGAATATCGCAAATTAGGATGCAAGAAAGTATATATATAATAATAAGGAGATATCATATGATTGCCACAGGCTGTACGGTTGCCTATAAATGCTTACATCCACTTTGTTTGAACTTTGGTGGATAGTTGTCTCATTGGCAATGATACCTAATCGCCTTATTTTTATATTATAGACTTACGTAAGGCATTTGACAGTTATTCATGCTGGTATAATGTTAAAATTATCAAGATATAATAAAAAAAGAAATTGTTACAGAATCCTGAATTCTACCAGACTAAGCTGGCACACACTTTTAGGAGCCAATCAAGATAGCAGCCACTTTTTTCCAGCAGGCAATTTTAATGATATGTCTAAAAACCAAAAAACTGTATAAGAATCAAATGTTCTAAAAATCTTAAAATCTTAGTTAAATATAATTTAACAGCAGAATTCGAAATTTTCACGGCTTGTCGTGATTCTTAAAAGATAGCAGTCCGTTTTAAATACTTATGATGATACATGTAGCAGCCACTTATTTTTCGGAGGATACTGTTTGTTTAATAAAAAGATGTACAATTTAAAACAGTTATTTTCGTTCATTTTTTCGTTTTTTTTTATTCCTTATGATTATGAGGTACAGAAACAATGTAGGAATAGAAAATAGGACCATTTTACGTTTTACAATAGTTTCCAAAGGGATTCTTCCGAGTTCCCCCATACACCATATAGTTTGGTGTACTGCTTCTTAATTTCAAAATGTGCCAGACGCACCATAAATGTATATATGGACGGACAAAACGCTATTTAACCTCACAAAAATTCAATAACACAAAAGAAATAAAACAAGAAATATATATATTTACACCAAGATGTCGTTAAATGAAATTGAATACCCTGCATTTATCATGCTGTTCAATAACAACATATGCATGGTCAAATCGCTGAAAGACCCCCTGTTAAATTATTGAAAACTATCATTCTGCATTGACAATAACGCCCTCAAGGTGTATCTACTACTTATAATAAGACTATTTATTTATGCACTAAATAGCATATAGTCCTTCATGATGTTGTCTTCTTCATTATTTAATTCCGGTTCTTTGCTTTTGCGCCAATTGGCATTTTATTTGCGACAAAAACATGTGTAAATACAGGTAAATAGTATAACAAGAGTGCACACGCTGAAATGTCTCGCCTTCTTTACTAACCATTGATATTATGTTGATAGTCCTAAATGAAAGTTTTACTACAACTATTACATAAACAAGAAAATGAAGTCAAGGTCATATAAACCAAACGAGAAATACATGTACACCTTACAATCATTCAATAGACTAAATATAGTTGACCTATTTCTTATAGTTTCTAAGAAAAAGACTTAACCAAGAAAACTAAACATTGACCAATGAATCGTGAAAATGAGGTCAAGGTCAGATGAACCATACCAGACAGACATGAACAGCTTACAATCCTTCCATACAACAAATATAGTTGACCTATTGCTTATAGTATAAGAAAAACAGACCGAAACACATAAACTTAACACTGAGCAATGAACCATGAAAATGAGGTCAAGGTCAAATAAAACCTGCGAGACTGACATGTACATCATAAAATATTTCCATACACCAAATATAGTTGACTTATTGCATATAGTATTAGAAAAAAGACCAAAACTCAAAAACTTAACTTTGACCACTGAACCATGAAAATGAGGTCAAAGTCAGATGACACCTGCCAGTTGGACATGTACACCTTACAATTATTCCATACACCAAATATAGAAGACCTATTGCATAAAGTATAAGAAAAACGGACCAAAACACAAAAACTTAACTATAACCACTGAACCATGAAAATAGTTTTTAAAACACAGTTTAATTCGACACAAAAAAAAAAAAACAAAAACAAAAACAATCATAAATTATAAAACAGCCAAAGTTAAAATAACAAGAATCATTTTTAAATGATAAATACATTGGTGTTGTTATTCGAATGAATTCAAGGAAAGAGATTTTACAATTTAATGTAATAATAAAAGTAAAAAATAAGGATAATATGGTATGATTGCCATTGAGATAACTATCCCCCAGAGACTCAAGGACGAGTTCTTATCGTATAAGTCTATTTATCAGGATTTCTCTGTTTGCTCTGTTGACAATGACGGTGCATAAACTTTAGGTAAACAGTATGTCTGTTTCTTCTGGACTAAATACTAATGTTTTAATTTAGTCTAAAACCGAATGTAGTCGAAACACGCCCGTAATAAACCTAGTAACTTCGCTATACGAAAAGTTTCCAATTATACATTTAATGAATACATAGAAATATTAATCAAAGTACTGAAGTACTGAACATCGGATGACCGCAAGTTCTTGTGGATGGTCACAAACACTTGTCTCAGAAAAAAAAATCACATCTGTATACCTGAAAGTGAGGTTAATGTACAGAGATATATTTTTTCGGAGACAAGTTCGTGTGTGGATAATGAATGAATGACAGGGAATTCAACGTCACCGTAATAACTATTATATTGTAGTGATACAAATCATTATACTCTGGTTTGTTGTTATATATTATAATAATTTTTTTATATAACAGTTACATGTATGAAATATTATTTTCATCCATTTGTATATCATTCTATTTTACTATTCTAATAATAGTGCAGTGCAAGTGCATGGTGGACACTCTTCTGTAATAATATGATTTTTCTAATAGATTGGATTTGAGCAGGCATTGATATTTTCCCGCAAAACGTTCTTGAGATATTCCTCCGCATGCGTTAACACAATTTTTCTGTACGTGTGCATAGATATTATCAATGATTTTTTAATTGTATATATATATATTTCTAACGACAAAACATTTTCATATTATTAATTTATGTTCTAAACAAAAAATATTTTATGAGTATTCATTTAAGAAATGAATTTATAACAAGCGATAAGGAATGTTATTTTGCACTCGATAATGTCCGCGTATTTATAGATCGGTTACCAGTCAAACACGAAAGTTACGTAAGTAGAAACCTCGTCGGCAACAATACATCGGAATGCCCTCACGGTCATCGCGATGTAAAAAGCGATCTGATCAAAGCTCTAACAAAATAATCTTATCCCTTTTTGGAAAAACAAATCAATCGCTGTGAAATTAATATAACTGAGATATTGGTCTTTTATTAGTTAATTCAGGTACATTTATCCAAAATTTGAATGAGCTACTTCCTTCCTTTTTACATAGAAAAAGTCATCATAGAGGTGTCGCTTGACAGTGACATATTTATCGGACATATCATGAAGGTCTCAAAGTGTTGCAAATTTTCAGTAGTTTTGGATTCCATTTATTACGTTCATTAGGTCACATACCGGTATTAGTGGGCTTTTGCGTAGACGATCAACAGTCAAGGAAAAATAGGAATAGTTTTAAAGTTTCCATTTAATGATATAAATACATATGTACAAGAAAGAATAAATTGCAGCTCTACTTTTGATAAATACCGATATATATTTTTGCACCTTTTGTTTGCGGTATACCATCTTTAACGCAAGTTTATTGTTTTCTGTTTAATATTAAATTAATATTTAAGATCCATTTTGTTACATCTGGTGATCATTTTATTTGACAATCGCCAATGGCAGTCAGCAGGGTTTAAGAACATCCGGTGTACGGCCTGCTAGTCAAATGCGTTTTGTTAAAATATACTTTGTCACTTTTTTGGTCTTTTGGAAAATGTTGTTTGTGCTGTATTTAGACCCCTTTACCAAGAAATTTGTTTTGCATGTACACGTATAAAAATTGCGGTTTTTATCCAACGCAATCATAGGTTTGAACGTTGTTTTCAATTTAGACTTGTTTATGTATTATATTTGCCTTCGTGTTGATATGATCCGTTCATCCTATTTTGACTCTTTCAAAATTCAAGAGTATATCCTAATTTGAGGTAAATTATATGGCTTTCCAAATACCGTTTCGATTCCTAACATCACTGAAGAGACATTAATTGTCGAAATCCGGATATGGTGTACAAATTTTTGCACCTTATGTTTGCGGTATACCATCTTTTCCGCAAGTTTGTTGTTTTCTGTTTGGTAATAAATTAATAATAAGATCTTTTTTGTTACATCTTGTGATCCGTTTATTTGGCAATCGCCAATGGCAGTCAGCAGGGTTTAAGAACATCAGTTGTTCGACCTGCTAGTCAAAATGCGTTTTGTTAAAATGTACTTTTTCACTCATTTGGTCTTTTGGAAAATGTTGTTTGTGCTGTATTTAGACCCCTCTACCAAGATATTTGTTTTGCATGCACACGTATTAAAACTGCGGTTTTTATCCAACTCAATCATAGGTTTGAACGTTGTTTTCAATTTAGACTTGTTTATGTATTATATTTGCCTTCGGGTTAAAATGATCCGTTCATCCTATTTTGACTCTTTCAAAATTCAAGAGTCTATCCTAAATTGAGGTAAATTATGATAACTTCCAAATACCGTTTCGATTCCTAACATCACTGAAGAGATATTAATTGTACATGTAGTGGTGTACAAATTTTTGCACCTCATGTTTGCGGTATACCACCTTTTCCGCAAGTTTATTGTTTTCTGTTTGGTAATAAATTAGTAATAAGATCTATTTTGTTACATCTTGTGATCCGATTATTTGGCAATCGCCATAGGCAGTCAGCAGGGTTTAAGAACATCAGTTGTTCGACCTGCTAGTCAAATGCGTTTTGTTAAAATATACTTTTTCACTCATTTGGTCTTTTGGAAAATGTTGTTTGTGCTGTATTTAGACCCCTCTACCAAGTAATTTGTTTTGAATGCACACGTATAAAAATTGCGGTTTTTATCCAACGCAATCATAAATTGGAACGTTGTTTTCAATTTAGACTTGTATATATATATAAGTACGTTTGAACCAGTGACAACTCTACGACAGATGTTATCCATCGGATCACCAGTAATGGTGACACATGGCTGAAAACACATTCTGTATACATAATTCGTCTAAATAACAGCCCAACAATGTTAGATCTGTAAATTTGCGGAAGCAAATTTTTTGGTCTTCCCTGGCCGGGATTCGAACTGCTTCTTCTGAGATATCGTGGCACTAAATCGCCTTGCACTATGCCCGAACCGCTAGACCACTCGACCACTTAGGCTCGACAAAAATCAAGCTTTTCAGTATAGATAATTAATAATTATATCGATGGGGATATCAGCCTCATACCTACAGGTACTACACAAAAAATTCAGGAAGTCCAATGGTCGAAATTTCCACAAAAAGTCCGCCAACCACGAAAAATTCAGGAAAGTTGTTTGTCATATATAAGTACCTACTATTATGTGATGGTTCTAAAAAATAAAACTAGCTCCAGTTATTGTACTCAGAATTAGACCAATCAAAATGCTGGATTGCTGTTTCGAGCACACATTTTGTAGTCTGAGTACTGAGTAGAGTTTATGACCGACAACCCAGATCTGCAGGCATTATACAAAAAATAGAGACAAGATCATTTTTCATGAAATTCTAGGTCCAAAATTAAACAAAAAATTGTCTTCTTAGTTGCACGGGCATAAAATCAGTATAAAAGCGCTATTTGAAACAAAAATTGGAACTTTAAGTTTTGAAAATAAGGATATTTTTTATGATGTATTGTTGCCAGTGAATACCAATGAACTATCGACGGGAAGTTGTAATCATTTTTTTACTTGCTTTTTCATGATCTTTTTTTGTTGGTAACACCACTGCAGACGAAAGAATAAAAAACATAATCCATTCACAGATATTACATCTCAGAACGATAAAATTATTCTGAATAAAGTTATATTTGCTTTCATCTTAAACAACAAACAGAGTGATAGTTCCTAATGCAACAATCCACAGGGAGAGATGTCATTCTACCCAAATGCATTTTTCGCCTGATTTTAATCATTAGCTTGAACACGAGAACACTAACCCCTCATTTTTAAAATGACATTTGGGTTGATTATGCAGAAAGGTTATTTGTAGCAATTTTTTTGAAAAAATCGCCGAAGAGTTTTTTTAAATTAGATAAATTACATACAGCAAAAATGCCTTTTTTGTTCTAAAACCATGAAACTATGATAAAAATGAATTATTTCCAAAAAATTTAGAGCATACTTATGTAAAGAAGATTTTCCAAATGTTTTCACAATAATCTGCCTGCCCGTGTTTGTCTTTTAAAACAAAAACGGATAGAAATGATCAAGAAACCGAAATTTTGTGTAAATGTCTAAATTTCCGACCCCATTTATCTCTGAAAAAAGCACATAAGGATATATTTTTTATTACATATTTGAATTGACTAGGGGGAAAATAGCTTGTATGCAAATTTTCGTAAAAAAATCCCCGTGCGATTAAAACTTTATCGTATGCCCTTAATTGTCTTTTCTCGTTTGATATACATTTGATATGGTTTAAAATGAGTTAAATCTTCATCTATCGACAAATCATAGGCTCAAAGCCGACACTCTGAAGAATACTAGTCACAAAGTAAGAGATAACTAGAATAAATGCAGGTAACGGGCACATAAAACCACTCTCAATAGCTGATAACTCACAAATTATTGAATAAGTACACAGATCAGTTTATAAATGACGTTATGTAATATCCCCAGGTGATTTGAACAATGATATTTTGTTTGATTAAAAGTGAAATGTAGAATGAAATATGAGATGTATAACTTATTTTCATTGATATTTAAACCTACTGGTTCACCTTCTTTCACTTTTTTGAATTAATAAAAGATTCAAAACAGGTTTGAGTGAAGGGCATTGTGTACTATTGATCACATAGCAGACAAATAACTCGTTTCTCGTTTTTTATATAGATTAGACCGTTGGTTTTCCTGTTTGAATGGTTTTACATTAGTCACTTTTGGGGTCCTGTATAGCTTGCTGTTCGGTGTGAGCCAAGGCTCCGTGTTGAAGGCCGTACATTGACCTATAATGGTTTACTTTTACAAATTGTGACTTGGATGGAGAGTTGTCTCATTGGCACTCATACCACATCTTCTTATATCTAAATAAGAAAAATACTGGTAAAGTTATCTTAACATTTATCAATAATATATATGATGAAGTAATCAATATCTATGCACAACATGAATTCACAGGAATCGCAAACAAACCTGCTTCAGTTGAGACGAATATAAAAATTATAATACCAAGATCAATACTAAGCCGATTTTTATGCATTATTTTTAAGTTAATTTAAGAAGCGTGCTTGATGAAAACAACTTATGATAGTTGTCTCAATCATACCACATCTCCTTATTTTTAAATTATTGAATATTTTGATGTTTCAAACACAGAAGAGCAGTTTAAAAATTTAATATAACATACAATAAGTAAACACATTTCATAACCTCGAAATACCATATTATTAAAAAAACAAAGTGGTGAAATAAAGAAAACAGACAAATTCGTCGCAAAATTTGAAAATAATTCGTAAAGGAAACCGCGGAACCCTGTGTCTCGACTGATGTTGCTGCCGTTAGAGTAAAAGTGTAATGCTGACTGACAAAATCTTAGTCCTTTCATCCTAAAATCACTTTTCTTCAAATGCAATTTGCTTTTATCTTGAATAAGCTTCTGTCCAAATTTCATAACATTTCTTGAAGATTAACAAAGTTATTAACTTCTAACATTCTAATCACAGTCAGTATGTAAATGTTAACTGCTAAAAAATATACTCAAAATTGAAAACAAAAGTAAACGATTAGTTTTAAACTTTGTTTCTTTTTAAAAATACTCAAAATTCTAAAAATGGTTGACAATATTATTGATGTCTTTAAAAATTTCAAAGCCAGGTTGTATCTTCGTGTTAACTCCAAAAACCTAAGTAAAATTTCAACTCAATTTCACACATCAACTGGAAAAAACGTAAACCAGTTATGAGAGAAACAACGTCTGTATATTTAAACCAATACATAGTAATGGACAGAAGTATTAAAGAAGAGCCTAAATCTCACAAATAGGACACAAATATATGAACAAACTCTGTCAATAATAAGTTTTGCATGTGTACACCAGGGAAATGATCACTAAAAGAAAAATAAACTTACCGTACAAAAACCAAAATGCCGTCGTAAAAATATTCAGCCCTTGATACTAACCTTTAAATATTCATTTCGGTACACATGAATGAATTTGTTTATTTAGCCATGACTCGTTTATTAACGTCTCCTCGTAGACGTTATTAAGAATTGAACGATGGACAGTCAGTGCGTGAATGCCTCTTACTACCTGATTGGAAGATATTACGAGACGTGAATAATCAAAGTTTCTTGATTGGTTTGGACAATCCAAACCTAGTAAATGTCTTTTAATCCCGTAGAGTATCGGATTTGTCCTCTCTATTTTAGCAATTAGATTTTGCCTGGTCATTAATCATGCATATTCATGAGATTGGTACACAGGTAACTTTTATCTATAAATAGCCGAATCTTCTGGAGTTTGTAAACACACACAACGTTAAACGATATACTACTTCATAACGTGTGACCTCACGTGAGTGGTAAAATTTGTTGATTGATATGCAAGACTATTCTGAATGAATTAATCTACAAAGCGAGAACACTTTCCATTTTCATCAGCTAAGAGACGGCTAGCCTTTTTTTGAAAAGCTATTACTTGTGGATTTATTCAACTTGATTTAAAAACCCGTAAAAATCAAGTAAAGAATTACGTTAAATGGCAAAAAATAACTTAAGTTAAAAATATTCAAATAAATACCTAGAATAATTAGAATCAATATGAAAAAAATTCGAAAAAACTGATACTTAAATTATTTTGCGCAGTATATTTGTATTTTGTTTTTATTCAGGTAAAGTTAGCCGATGTTCAAAACTTATAATACAAACAAATGTAACAAATACAAAAACTGAGGGAATCGCATGAGCTTTAAAAGGACTGGGTGCCTCGACAGGGTAAGCATCCTCTCATATGTAACAAATACAAAAACAGGGAATCACATGAGCTCTAAAAGGAGCGGGTGTCTCGACAGGGTAAGCATCCCTCTCATATGTAACAAATACAAAAACTGAGGGAATCACATGAGCTCTAAAAAGACCAAGTGCCTCAACAGGGTAAGCATCCTCTCATATGTAACAAATACAAAAACTAAGGGAATCACATGAGCTCTAAAAGGAGCGGGTGCCTCGACAGGATAAGCATCCTCTCATATGTAACAAATACAAAAACTGAGGGAATCACATGAGCTCCAAAAGGAGCGGGTGGGTCGACAGGGTAAGCATCCCCTGAATGTAACAAATACAAAAACTGAGGGAATCACATAAGCTCTAAAAGGACCGGGTGCCTCGACAGGGTAAGCATCCTCTCATATGTAACATATACAAAAACTGAGGGAATCACATGAGATCTAATAGGAGCGGGTGCCCCGTCAGGGTAAGCATCCCCTGAATGTAACAAATACAAAAACTGAGGGAATCGCATGAGCTCTGAAAGAAGCGGGTGCGTCGACAGGGTAAGTATCCCCTGAATATAACAAATACAAAAACTGAGGGAATCACATGAGCTCCAAAAGGAGCGGGTGGGTCGACAGGGTAAGCATCCCCTGAATGTAACAAATACAAAAACTGAGGGAATCACATAAGCTCTAAAAGGACCGGGTGCCTCGACAGGGTAAGCATCCTCTCATATGTAACAAATACAAAAACTAAGGGAATCACATGAGCTCTAAAAGGAGCGGGTGCCTCGACAGGATAAGCATCCTCTCATATGTAACAAATACAAAAACTGAGGGAATCACATGAGCTCCAAAAGGAGCGGGTGGGTCGACAGGGTAAGCATCCCCTGAATGTAACAAATACAAAAACTGAGGGAATCACATAAGCTCTAAAAGGACCGGGTGCCTCGACAGGGTAAGCATCCTCCACTACAAAAGTCTAAAAGTCTGAAAAGACCAGTTTTTGTCTTAATTTGCATGAACTTTTACTCGACATTCTCCAAAAGTATGACTTGTGTCTTAATTTTTCTTGACAAATTCTCATTTATATTAAATTTGTATGAAATTTACTTGACATATTCTCGACATTCTGAATATGGTCTTAAAATTTCTTGACAAATTCTTGACATTTGAATACTGTCTTGAAATTTCTCGACATATTCTCGACATTCTTATTTTTTCTCAGTATGGCTTGACATATTCTGGACATTTTGAATCGTGTCTTAAATTTACTTGACAGTTCTGAGTTTTACCAATCATGACCAATATTCATGATATAACTTTAATCTTTATTTCTCTTTATATGATATACTGTTGTTTCAAGTTGCACTTCTTTACAACAAAAATAAAAGTTGGGCATGTTAAATAATTCAAAATTTGGGTATATAAATATTTTTACAAATGCAAATATGGCTATGAAATCTAAAGTATAAAATAATTCAAATGTGGGTGTGTTGATATAAAACATTTAAATAATTACAAATTTTGATTCCTAAATCTTATAAATTAAATGATTCAAACCAATCATACTGTAGACATATTTCATTCTACATTCATAATATTCAATGTTGATATGGTAAATAATTATTATACCAAAATGTGGTTTATATAAATAGCAAATTATGATGATATACAAATCATTCATTTTAAAGAAGAAAAATTTGTGTAATGTCATCTGTTAGAATATATTAAGTATTACACATGGACAGGATGTTCCCCATAAAATTAAGGTATTCCACACCCCAGAGTACACGCAACTGTCAAATAGAAGTTATTGCTTTACCTGTAATCAGCCATACAACTTATCAGTTGACCGACCATGCCACTACAATTTAAAAAGTTTGTTGATAGATAAAAATGAAAATCATCATTTTGATGAAAAAAAATTGAATTGAAATGGATTTTCTTCATCAAAATTATGAAGTTAATTATTTTAACATAAAAACAAATTGAATAATTCCCAAAGATTAAAAGAAAATTATTATCTACTCCAGGAATAATAACAAAAATGTATTTATAATTGGTCCCATCAATGATTTCTATAGAAATCATCGGTCTTATGAAATGGTTCTCACACAGACTTGCATAATATAGATCTAAACATTTTTTTCTTTTCAGGAAGGAGTTATCACAAATATTTATTTTTGATAAAAAATTATAAAATTCAACACTCACATTTGAATAAAAAATGTTTTTGGGTTGTTCTAAAAAATGAATAAGGTTTTTGAATCAAGATGGGAACAAATTCTTTGACCTAAACGAAAGCCCCCCCCCCCCCCCCCTCTTTTTTTAGCCACACAAACCCAAAAGATGAATTGTGGGGTCCAAAAGAGATACAAGACACCTATTTTAGTAAAGCAAATTTGACTGGCAGTTTTGCGAACGGCAAAAATCTAAATGCTGTTTGTCAATACCTTTGACTAATATTCCAAGTGAAAACAATTACTTAAATGTTTAATAAAAATAAATCAAAATTAAACTACATGGGGGATTATTCAGGGTATTCCAACTTAGTTGCACCAAAAGGGTATCTTACTATACCAAATTAATCCTTGATTCTTCAAAGTTTAGTTTAGCTATAATAAAAAGGAGTATACAACAGCAATAGAATGTCATAAACAGTGCAGAATAAGTCTGTTCACATTTCAGGCTAAATTTATACTGTTGAGATAGTGTCAAGACATATTTAAGACTGTCAAGAATGTGTCGAGACATATTCAGACATTATTTAGAATGTCAAGAATATGTCGAGACATATTCAGACATTATTAAGAATGTCAAGACAGATCGAGACAAATTTAAGACAGTCAAGAATTGAACGAGACTAATCGAGACTCTTATCAGATGATACAGGAAGTGTCGAGAAATTTTAAGACAATGTTCATACTGTCAAGACACTTGTCAAGAAAAATCAAGAACCTTATTAGACAAATTCATACTATGTCAAGAATTTTTAAAAATTATTCAGACAAATTAAGAATGTCGAGTAAAAATTCATGCAAATTCAGACAAAAACTGGTCTTTTCAGACTTTTTGACTTTTGTAGTGCTCTCATATGTAACATATACAAAAACTGAGGGAATCACATGAGATCTAATAGGAGCGGGTGCCCCGTCAGGGTAAGCATCCCCTGAATGTAACAAATACAAAAACTGAGGGAATCGCATGAGCTCTGAAAGAAGCGGGTGCGTCGACAGGGTAAGTATCCCCTGAATATAACAAATACAAAAACTGAGGGAATCACATGAGCTCTAAAAGGAGCGGGTGCGTCGACAGGGTAAGCATCCCCTGAATGTAACAAATACAAAAACTGAGGGAATCGCATGCGCTCTGAAAGAAGCGGATGCGACGACAGGGTAAGCATCCCCTCAATGTAACAAATACAAAAACTGAGGGAATCACACGAGCTCCAAAAGGAGCGGGTGCGTCGACAGGGTAAGCATCACTCTCATATGTAACAAATACAAAAACTGAGGGAATCGCATGAGCTCTGAAAGAAGCGGGTGCGTCGACAGGGTAAGCATCCCCTGAATGTAACAAATACAAAAACTGAGGGAATCACATGAGCTCTAAAAGGAGCGGGTGTGTCGACAGGATAAGCATCCCCTGAATGTAACAAATACAAAAACTGAGGGAATCACATGAGCTCTAAAAGGAGCGGGTGCGTCGACTCGGTAAGCATCCTCTCATATGTAACAAATACAAAAACTGAGGGAATAACATGAGCTCTAAAAGGAGCGGATGTGTCGTCAGGGTAAGTATCCCCTGAATGTAACAAATACAAAAACTGAGGGAATCGCATGAGCTCTGAAAGAAGCGGGTTCGTCAAAAGGGTAAGCATCCCCTAAATGTAACAAATACAAAAACTGAGGGAATCACATGAGCTCTAAAAGGAGCGGGTGCGTCGACAGGGTAAGCATCCCCTGAATGTAACAAATACAAAAACTAATGGAATCGTATGAGCTCTGAAAGAAGCGGATGCGACGACAGGGTAAGCATCCTCTGAATGTAACATATACAAAAACTGAGGGAATCAAATGAGCTCCAATAGGAGCGGATGCGTCGACAGGGTAAGCATCCCCTGAATGTAACAAATACAAAAACTGAGGGAATCACATGAGTTCTAAAAGGAGCGGGTGTGTCGATAGGGTAAGCATCCCCTGAATGTAACAAATACAAAAACTGAGGGAATCGCATGAGCTCTGCAAGAAGCGGATGCGTCGACAGGGTAAGCATCCCCTGAATGTAACAAATACAAAAACTGAGGGAATCGAATGAGCTCTGAAAGAAGCAG